GGTGGTGAACTCGCCCTCTTGGATGACCACGTCGTCCAGCATCCGCTTCTGATTGGCTTTGCGAAGAATGTTGGACTCGATCGTGTACTCCGACACGAACCGGTAGATGTGAACGTCGCGAGTTTGTCCGATACGATGGCAACGATCCTGGCACTGCTTGTCCATAGCCGGGTTCCAGTCCAAGTCATAGAAGATCACGGTGTCGGCGCCGGTCAAGTTGATTCCCAAACCACCGGAGCGGCTGGATAAGATGAATGCCAGAATGCGGTTGTCATTGTTGAACCGATCAGTGAGAATCTGACGCTGCTCAACTTTGGTGGTGCCGTCCAGTCTCAAATAGCGGTGACCATGAATGTTAAGGAACTGTTCCAGGATATCGAGCATCTTGGTCATCTGCGTGAAAATTAGGGCCCGGTGTCCGCCCGCTTTGAGGTCTCGGAGTAGCTTGTCGAGTCGTTGTAGCTTGCCGCAGTCGTATTGCAGAAGTCTCTTGTCCGGGAAGGCGATTGATAACCGCATTTGTGCCTCATGAAATGGGTCATAGGGGGGGAAGCGTTCTTTATTGGTAAGGTGTCGGGTTTCGATGGGAGTCAAGGCTGCTGCGGTGACTCCGGAAGCAACTGCTGCAGGGGTCACACAAGCAAAACGCTGGACGTAGCCATCCATCACCTGAGACCGTTCTTCAATGGACAAGATCATCGATGCGAGAACGGATGAGCGGCTTGACAGCCAATCAGCCAGGGAGCGTTTCCGCAACGGTCCATTGGTGGTCGGCCGCTGCTTGCTGTCCGCCGTGAGGAACTCGATTAGACTCGATCCGTATACAGGACGGCGACCGTGCCGTTTGGATTCAAAGTAAAGACACCGCTCTAGTTCCGCCATCCTCCTCTTCCTGGACTCATTCTCCAAAGCATCTAAGGTGGATTGCACACTCGAGCCGTCGAAGATCATCTGCCAGTTGGTGCGATGATACTGCTGTTCACGTAGCGTGTTGAGAGGACCGTAGGCCATGAGCCTTGTACTGTCGTCCGCTAATCTGCGAGAAATATCCTCGCGTGAGATGGGAACCAGGTTGAGGAAATCCAGGTCAAGTTTTGTGAGCGGATGTTCATACAACAAACGCCGGCGCACAAGAAGATCCTTGATCTCGTATTCAGTGGCCACAGAGCGTGGCATTGCAAACGAGGTCGAAATAGGACGCGTCTCAAAGAGATCCGGATGATTGCAAACTTTCCGTAATTGCATCAGGCAATTGATGATCGAAAGGTAGTTACCCGAAGCAAGAGTTTCCTTTGTCTGGGCCCTAGACATAAATCCATCATACAAATAACGTTGGCGCTTGGAGAGCCTGCAGTAGACAACATGTTCGTATTTTGCTGGCATTTGCTTCTCAACATCGGCCTTGAGGCGACGCAAGATGTACGGCCGCAAAACAGTGTGAAGCTTGGTAACGACTTGTTTTGCTTCGTCATCCATTGTCTCTCGACCATGTTCCAAGATCTGCTCGACTGGACGTCGGAACCACTCGGAGAAGTTCCTCAGATCTGCAAATGCTTCCATGCCCTCCTCATCACTATCTGACGGCATCAGGAAGAAAAGCAAGGACCATAATTCAGTCAAATTGTTCTGAAGTGGTGTTCCAGTGAGGAGAAGGCGAGCCCGAGTCCTGAAAGTAAGCAGCGCTTGCCACCTCTGAGATCGGAAGTTCTTGATGTTATGAGCTTCGTCTAGAATCATGTAGTGCCAGCTTCTCCTCTTTAGCACTTGCTGGTCTTGTAAGACAAGTTGATACGAGGTGATCAGGACGTTCCAACTAGTATCATCCATCCAGCCTTTGCGCTTTTGCCGACGTTCCTCTTGATTGCCATAGTAAGTCATGATCTTAAATCCAGGGCACCATTTCTTGAACTCCATTTCCCAGTTAAGTATCACACTCGTAGGGACAACCACTAAGTGAGGACCCCAGACTTCATGCTCAACAGCCAAGTGTGCCAGCAAAGCTATTGTTTGGATGGTTTTGCCGAGACCCATCTCATCAGCAAGAATCCCATTGATTTGATTTGTGTAGAGGCCAGCCAGCCAGTCTAAGCCAAAGTGTTGATATTCTCGCAGAGTCCCTCTAAGCAGATGTGGCACGGGGGTCTTCAAACCAGGTGCTGACGATTCGCTGGCCGGTAGCTGCTGTTCAGGCGTTTCATATGACGAAACAGATTCCGGTTCTGAAGGTTTCGTGGCAATCGTGCCCGGAGATGCTTCACTGGACGGCTCCTTGCTTGGGAAACCATTCGATTCGGAGTGGTCATTACCCTGTGCACCATCAGGCCGTAGCAATTCAGGTTCAACCATCTCATCTGAGGTTTCGATGGCAACAAGATCTGTCATCTCGAGGTCTGGCGTTGTCTTCTCCCCAGGAGTGGACCCAAGCATGAGTTCAGACGCAGGCCCGGGGGATAGGACAGGCGCAGGTGAAGTTTGGGGGGGCTCGGGTGATGGGAGTGAGTCTTTTGCAGGTCCATTTGGTACGAGAGAGACTTCGTCAGGGTCTTCCGACTCCTCATCTTCCTCCTCACCAGCGGATGCTATTTTTGCATCGGTTTCTAGGTCATAATCAGAGGTAATTTCGTCGCCATCGCTATCTTGTTCCAAGGCAATATCCTTAGCCGAGAAGAATCCCAACAACCCAGGCCCATTGTTACTTTCCGCTTCGGACTCCACCTCGTCATATTCATCCCCATCATCGCTGCTGCTCATGTCGTCATCATCCATATCAGTAGACTCGTCTTCACTGTCATCCATAAGCACTGGGTCAACTTCCTCGAGTTCGATATACTGATCAGATCGGGCTTCTGTGGGCGGGTCTACTGATCCACCATCCCCGTCTAACACGCGATGAGTATCTGAAATATCGCCGCCGCCGAAAGAAGCTGGGTCGTCAGCAACCTCGGAGTCGTGATCGGAAACAACTGTAGCTTCTGGGAGGTTGGCGTATTTCAACCGTAGCTCCTCGGCTGTTAAGCCCTCATCATCATCAACATCTTTATCGTCCTCACTCTCAGAGTCTGAGGAGGACATGTTGTCCTCGTCGTCGTCGCTGTCATCTGAGAGGTCATCTGACCCCGCTTGCTCTCCGTCGCTTGAATCAAGGGCGTCACTTCCGGCTTCGCCAAGGATTTCCAGGCGTCGCTTTTCAAAGAGCATTGTTGACTGCTTTATAGCACGATCCAACGCCTGTTGGTCTTCGGCTTTTCGCTCTTCCTCCCAGCGTGCTAAACGCATCCTATCCACCTCAGCTCGTGCAAGATCAAACATCTTTTGAAGATCCTTGGCCATCTGTTTACGTTTCCCGCGCATCTCCTCCTGTTGTTCCCGAAGGATATCTTCGGGATCCTTGTTGCGCTTCCTCCATGCATCAGCACACCACTGCGCAAATAGTCTTGCCGTGTTGCGATGACGCCTATGCTCTTGATCGAGAAGCTTTTTGAAGTAGGAGACGTGGGCCACGAGATGATCTTGATGAGAATATTGCTGTGACGGTTCCTCCTGCTGCTCTGGTAAGAACGCAGAACATACGTCTGGGCTCAAAAGACCCCCTGGCTCTGCCGCTATTGCTACCCGACGTCTCTTTAGAGCCTCTTCAAGCGCGTCGGCCGGGGCGAGAACCGTGGGGTCCTTTATTCTGCTCTCATCGCTATCCAGCCATTCCTTGAACGAGTTGAATTTTCGGGGCGGCAAAACGTGAGACGGATGCTGAATTTCAATCATCGGTCGCTTGACTTTGATCCGTAAACGCGAAACTAGCTCGTCGGAATCATCAAGGCAATCAAGCCCGCCATCTTCGAATTCTTGGCCTAGATTATGCTCATCCTCCAAGGTCGCGGGAGTACTCGTATTTAAGGCGGATCGGCTGTGCCGGCTGGAGCCGTTGACACCGCCCTGGGAAACACGACGCGAAGTGCTGGAGCTGTGCGATCTTGTGCGCGTATGAAGCTGCCTGGGTGCCGGCGATTGCGATGCCAGACTTTGTCTCCCTGTAGACCTCCTTGTCGTGGTACTTCGAGGAGAACCATTGATTACGGCGCTGCCAGCTATAGACCTTCCATTCCGCTCCGGTTGTGTCGGCGTGGAAAATGGTGACGACGCGACGCCTTTCGAGCTACCAGACACAGTCTTACTCACAAACTTATTTTGAGCCGCACGGGTGTGTCTTTTGTCGGATGGACTCTGCAGCTCGAGCGGAAGCGCGTTGACTCGCGATGACTTGCGCCTACCATCCTGAATGAAGGATGTCGGCCCATCGTGCCCGGCCTTCTTCCACGGGGGTGATGCTGGACGGGAGGCCGAACGACGTGACGGAGTAGACCCCGCGAGTTTTCTTCTCTTCGATGGAGGTCCGTCGGGATGATCGGCGACAGGCCCGTCGTCTTCAGTTGGGAGAGCAGCAGAATTCAAGTCGCGGGTGGCAGAAGGTGTTGGAAGCTCCGTGGGAAGGACATCGGACGAAACGGCGTCGATTTTGGGGGTCACGCTTTCATCTTGGAGTAAAATTCCGTTCGGACTACCGTTTTGCATTTCTTGTAATGACGGAGACAGGGGCCCTCTGGACAGCTGACCCCAGTTTTCCCAACGAGGACGCGGTCGAGATGGGAGAAAATGACATCAACGTGTAGAGAGAACTGAGTCGAAGTGCCACGAGGAATTTGGCATAGTTATCGGCCCTGTAGCGTGACTGGCAGGCGAAAACCTACACGGAGGGAGTGATTGCGTTGAAGAAGTGGTTTTTTCGTCCGGTGACTTGGAGGCGGACGGGGCGCGCCGTGTATTAGTTAAAGTAGAGTACGTAGTATGTAAGCTTTGCTCGGTGTTGGGGGCCTCAGGCCATTAACTGTCTCCGCCTTTACTCTCCACCAATGAAAACCCTTGGATTCCCCGTCTATCGCCCATGGCTGGAGAGTCGCTTTCAGTTTCAACTTCGAGCCTCAAGCCTCTCCCTCGTCCCTTTCCGCTGTCCTCCACCTTCTCTTTTCCTTTCCGACTTGCTCTATAACTGATCACAGCACCAAAGGTGAGCCACTCGCATCTTTATCTCTAACATGGAAGCTTCACTTCCTGTGCCTCTGTGCCATTGTGCCTTCAATTGTCTCAACTGTCTCTCTGGGGTAGTCGCTAACCTCGAATACATCTCAGCAGATGCTGTCTCAACGGATCTTGGCCCGGCGCCTGCCCCAGGTGACCGCCCGCTTCACCGTCCCCCATGCTTCTTTCTCCCAGCTTCGCAGTCTGGCCGCGCCGGAGCTTGATGACCCCCTTCAGGTATGAGCCGTTGGGACAACTGTGACCCTTCCCCTCAATCGCTGGCCTACCGAGCGGAATTGACACCATCTGTCCACGGCTTGCAGAACGGCAACTACCAGAACCCTCCTCGTATGAAGCGGGCCTTCAGAGATCCCTATGGCGACTGGTGGGACAAGCAGGAACGACGCAACTTCGGCGAGCCTGTTCACGAGGAGAACGAAATTCTAGGTGTCTTCAGCCCCGAGCAATATACCCATGTGACGCCTGGCAAGGGTATCCTTCAGATCGGAGCTTTCATCGTGGCCTTCCTCGGCTTGTGCGGAACCGTCAGCCTTTTCTACCCTGATAAGCCCAGCGTTCCCAGGACCTTCCCCGACGGTTTGGAGAAGGAGTTGGGTGGACCCAGGGCTGTTCCCGTACGTCGATACTGCACCCCATTTCTCTCCTGGTGTGTTTACGCACATAAAACTAACTGCTGTGACTTTGCTACTCTCTAGGCCCGTAAATCTGACGAAGGCTCGTGGTGATCGAATTATTCTCTGATGCGATGTAAATAAGTACAATATGATTTTCGCTGTTTTCTTCAACCCTCCGTGCGTGGTTCCAGCGAACATTGGTACGGTGGGGTAGGGCCATCCCCAATTGCTGAACTCTCAGGCAGGCCTCAGATGCGTGGTTGTTCGCAATGGCTGTCTGCTGTCGTTCCTCGGCCGTAATGCGGGCGGGTTAGGTCGGGGAATGTATAGAATGGTGACCTATACGGGGATCACGGCCACTGGACAAGTGGGGGGTTTTCATATGAGAATCGCATGGCTCCTGGGAAGCTCCATCCGATCGGCATAGTCAATTCCAGATGAAAATCACAGTCTGCGCGATCATCTTATGACTCGCATTATGCACCTTCCTGGGTCTTTGCTCTTAGATTGCTGTGGACGGTTAAGAGGAAGGAGGGTTTTTGTATTAGTGTTTGCCCGGGTCCTTTTGCCTGTATTTAGGATATAACGTACTCTAGAAACAGGGTCTATGTCCAGATTATCCGTACGATTGGATTCAAGCCAGTGAGGGGCAGTTTTTGAAACTGTCTGTACAGTGTAGGGCGATTGATACCTACGTCAGTCCCTTAAATGTTACTTAATATGGGGGCGGGCGCAAGCGGTTCTTGTTTCACCAACCACCACCACTAACTACAATACCTTTGAACCACCGCAACAATAACACACCACTTCTCATCTTCCCCCCTCCCTTCTCCCCACCATCTTATTTCACCCCCTTCTTTCTTACCGTTCTTTCCTGTAGCCGCCCGACTTGAATCTACTGCAGCTTTCTCTCTACTTACGACCCAGGTATTATTCTTTTGCCGGGTCTAAGTGCCTTTGGGTTCTGTGAGTTCGTCGGAAAGTCACCCTTGCGAGGCAGCTATCTCCATCAGCACTCCCTCCCCTACCTAGGGCCATGCTGTTGCTGGTTTGATCACAATAACAGTCTATCCCATGATCTCTCTCTCACTTTCAAATACTGCACTATCTATTTTGAGGACCCTTAGGATATAGAAAGGAGTTATCCACCGACCGCGAGAAACGACACCGCTTCTTCTTCCGATGTCGACAGCATCTACCCAGTCCCGAGGACTCAACCGACGGATCAACAGCATTCAGAATGAATTTCGCCATTCGCGCACTCCGTCTGGGTCCCGCAGGCGTCCCGTGAACTCCTCCACTGCCTACACCTATGCGCTCCGGGTCGCTTACTTGGCCTATCTTCTCCAACCACGACCGCGCCGGGTTCAAACTGTTCCAGCTCCGCAACGGCCCAAGAGAGCTTCAACCTCCTTTCACGATTTGATGAGCGACTTCTCGCTCGTGCGAGATTCAAAGAGCACTCGGATTCCCCATGGGTTCATATCGGAGCTGGAGAAGAGGCTGACTGGGGTCCTGATTGGGAAAGAGAAGCGGAAAGAATACCAAGATCCGCTGGTCGTGAGGACCTTTGCTGCTTTTCTCAACACCCTGAAGGATCAGTCGTTCAAGAAGCGCATGGAAAAGGATCGGCGGGCCGAAGACCTCGTCCTGATCTTCTATTCGAACGCGACTAAGGAATTGAGCAAAGGGAAGGAACCCGACGATGATCACTGGAGACTCATGGTGGACAGACACGTGGCTCTTTTTGTCCGTTTGTTTGCACTTATTCTAAAAGACCACGACTGGGCCAAAGAACGGCCGGAACTGGCCAATCGATTGGCGGTTCTAGAGAACAAACTTTTGTCTCAGGATCAGGATCTTGTGCAAACAAATGGCACCTCCAGCGTAGAAGTTATAGCCCCGTTAAGCTACGATATCAAGGACATGCCCCTCGTGCAGCATGTTGCCAGAATCTTCGATGTGAACCAGGGCCAAGTGCAAGCCGATATCAATAATAATCGAGGCGTCTGGACGGGACAGGCCGCCCTGCAAGATTTGAAGACCTATCAAGCTCATCTAACCCTCAAAACTCGAAAGACGCTGTCTCGGGAAGACTTTAAGAATGATGAGGCATACGAGCTGTGGAAGAAGAATGAGGCTCCAGATCTCTCCCAGATGATGCTTGCGATTGTGCAGTCTAATCCTGAATTGGCCAAGAGCACCCCAGGAGGCGCCCTTCCACAGTTCAATCCGAACGCTGCAGACCAAGATCCAGCAGGGGAGCTTTCGAGAACAAACTCCGAGCGACCGTCATCATACGTTATAGACCAGCCCGTGGATCTCAGCTCATTGTCCCTGGCTGACGATGGTATGAACGGGACGGACGAATCTGATACCTACACCTACATACCCCAGGACCCCCGGTCAATGTATCGGTTTATACTAACCCAAACTCTTGGTCACGACTTGAAAGACCGTGAACTTGAAGCCTCTCAGGCTACATCAGAGGCACCCCTTATGAAGCTTTTGTCAAAGCAGTCGACTGAGCTCCTGAATGAGATCTGTCTTCGCTGGCGTGTTCCTGCCTTCTCAAGAATGACCCTCTTTCTGGATGTTGTGCGGTCCAAATTCGTTGACAACGAAATCGATCTTGACACCCTCGATTCGGCATTCGCATTTGTCAAAGAAGCGCCGAACTCGGACGGCAGGAAGCGTAGTAGCTTCGTGGCGTCGGTTCTGTTCGACCGTAAGAAGTGGACCATCCACGATCTTCTGTTAATGCAACAGATACTATCCTCCCTTCACGAGGCGCTTTTAAGAGAACTTTATGATGTGATGATGGACTGCTACGAAAGCAAACCACGTCCGATTGGCCCGGTGATGTACATACTGGAAACCCACATTCAGATGGACCCCAGCTATACCGAAGATCTGGAAGATATCGATCGCTTCCGTGCGTACGTGCAGGATGGACTGGCGCAGAAAGCCTCGGAAAAATATCAAGAACTTTTGGGGCAGCTTATCCCGGTGCAGCCAGAAGAGTGGGAAGTAGACCATGTGATTCAGCTTTGTGATGCGATCACGAAGCTTGCGCAGAAGATCCGAAAGCGTTATCGCAACAATCCAGAAATCATGGGGTAAGAGATGTCATCACTAACGCAAGCCGTGCTTGATTCTAACTAATCGAAACTTAGGGTCAACCCTTATCTGATTTTACTCTCCAATGTGCTTCCGATATTTGCGGAAGACGTTCACGAGATGGTGGCTCGAATAATAGAGTTGGAGAACGTGCGAGGAGAAGAGACTGACATACAAGATGGATTTGACCTCTACCGTCGACTCGCAGATGTCCGTCGTCTTTTTACCGAGGCAGTGCCTGAGTACGTCCCCCAAACAACCCCTTTGACCTGACACAAATCCGGTTGCTGATTACAGTACTCAGCGGATCATTTCCGTTTCATGTAGAAGGCCTGATGGAAAACTTTGTCTGGCGGTGGATTCGCCTGACGGACCAAAAGGTCATGGATTGGGTGGAGCAGGCAGTCAAACAGGATGCCTTCAACGTCCGGGCTGATAGCTCGGCGGAAGAGATACCTGAAGATTACAGACACAGTGTGTCTGTCATTGACATTTTCCGTTCTTTCAACCAGGTGGTGGAACAAATGATACAGCTGGAGTGGGACGACGACTTGCAGTATGCTAAATTTATGACCGCTCTCTCCAAATCTATCGGTAGCGGTGTCGCGAGATACTGTGAATCCTTGGAGCAGATGTTCGCGAAGGAAATGGATCGTCTTTCTCCGGATCAGGAGGCTGCTATGAATCAAACGGCTCAGGAAAAGCTAATGCAAATCGCCAAAGAAGCATGGACAAGTAAAGAGAAGATTGAGCCCTTCCAGTTCTTTCCCGAGGTGCGTTCGTTTGAAATCCCTTGTTCGGGCATCACTGACCCAACCATTCACTACAGTCCTTGGTCAAACTCAACAATGTCGAATATGCCCTTGCACAACTTGACAAGCTTGAACAAGAAATTAACGTGGATGGTTGCGCAGAGGTTATAGCAAGACATGCGGCACCTCAATTGCAGAAGATACGCAAGTCGACGACTTATGTCTTTACCATCAAGGTTGTAGAGGCAGAGGATCTGAAAGCCTGCGATATGAACGGCGGCAGTGATCCTTACGTCGTTCTGGCTGATGAATATCAGAAGCGCATTGCGAAGACTCGCATCATCTATAACAACCTGAACCCACGGTGGGACGATGCGGTAGATATCACCACACAGGGTCCTCTAAACATCATTGCCACTATCTGGGATTGGGATGCAGTGGGCGATCACGACTATGTTGGGCGGACGTCGATCAAGCTTGATCCTGTACATTTCAGTGACTTTCTTCCGAGAGAATACTGGCTGGATCTAGATACCCAGGGCAGACTGTTGCTTCGTGTAAGCATGGAAGGAGAACGTGATGACATTCAGTTTTACTTTGGCAAGGCCTTCCGAACGTTGAAGCGGACGGAGAGAGACATGACGCGCAAGATCACAGAAAAGGTAAGTACAGATACATCCTACTCCGCAGAACACTCCAGTAATATCTCCATAGCTATCTGCGTACATCAGTCACTGTTTGTCGCGCCGGACCCTCAAGTCCCTCCTGTCACGAGGGCTCAGCATTTCAAGTGTTTCCAACTTCCTCAATCGGAACCGCGCTCAATCGAGTACCGCCACACCCTCCAGTGCGGATGTGGAGAATGCGTTGACGCCCCTTTTTGATTACTTTAACGATAACTTTGCTATCATGAACAAGACTCTTACCTCCGAGGCTATGAAAATGGTGATGGCACGATTGTGGAAAGAGGTCCTCGCTACCATTGAGAGTCTGCTGGTACCGCCCCTATCAGACAAGCCCTCTCACCAAAAGCCTCTGACGATGCAAGAAGTTGATATTGTTGCACGCTGGCTCGTGCTTCTACTAAACTTCTTCCACGCGGTAGATGAGGAAACTGGAGAAGCCCACGGCGTGTCCATCGATATCCTCAAGTCGCCCAAGTACCATGAGATTCAGACACTGAACTTCTTCTATTTCGAACCGACGGAGAGTTTGATACGCACCTCGGAGCGGATGGCCTCGGCCACAATCTCGCGCCAACAGGCCAACAAGAACCGCGCTTCAGCGCCTCCTCATCTAGGTGCCTCCGGGCCCGGCAATGTTCTGGGCCTGCCGGCTGCCCGCCGTGCCAAGAGTATTATGCTCTCGCGCAACCTCGGTACGATGCGAAAATTGAAGGAGGAGAAATGGCGCGAAGCCCAAGCGGAACCCAACGATGACATGATCCTGCGTATCTTACGTATGCGTCCCGAAGCTGCAGGCTACCTTCGCGATCGCAGTCGCCAAAAGGAGCGACTAGCAGCAGCCGCCGCGGCAGATGCCATCGTAAAACAAAGCTTGATGGCCGGGGCTGGGGGGAAGATGACGGGGATGCTTGGACGTCGATGAGTGTCTGGAAGCGACCACTGGATGACTCGCGGGCATTTCAACTGATGGTCCCCGTTTCGTTGTCGTTGAGGGGACGTGAGGCCTGGTATATCCGCTCTTGCCCGCGCGCATTTCAGATTTTGACATGATTTCCGCCACCAGGTTGATTTTAAGTGCGTCTATTTGATCTGTTTAAATTGCCTTTTTCATGGGTACGCGGGACCTGGGGTCCAGGCGTGAGCTCTGGAGCACTAGCCAAGTCTTAACATAGCGTAATGATAGTTTAATCACAGCCGCCTAGGGAAGCTATGGCTACGTAAAGGTGCGCTCTACCGTGGTAGATCCTACGATTAACCCCGGGCGGAAGACAGAACTCAGTTCGAGATAACAACATAATTCAATACTGTAGCCGGCTGGCTACCTTTGATGGAGGTCATGTTCTGAGACGAAGTTATCGTTTCCAGTGTGCATGTACTGTTCCCATCTACTCCAACTGTACACCCAGAAATCGCAGCGGTAGATACATCACTAAACTCAAGCCAAGGCAATGCACTCAATCTCGACAGGCACACCCTTGGGCAGCTGCTTGACAGCGAAGCAAGAGCGGGCGGGCTTGTGAGCGAAGAACTTGCCGTACTCCTGGTTCATCTCATCGAAGTCGGCCATATCGGCAAGGAGGACCTAAAAATAACCCGGCGAACTCCATGATAAGCCCCTCTCCGCACTCATATTGGAAACACCAACAAACAGCCAGTAAAGGGGGTTGGGGGGGCAGAACATACCGTAACCTTGAAGATCTTCTCGACGCTGGAGCCGGCGGCCTCGACGACAGCCTTGATGTTCTCGCAGCAGAGCCGGGTCTTCTCGCCAATGGTACCCTCGATGAGAACCCCATCCTTGGTCAGGGGGATCTGGCCGGAGAGGAAGATCTGGCCGTTGACCTTGATGGCCTGGGACTGTATTCATTCGCAGCCATGGAGCTTATGGTGAGTAAAAATGGAGGTGGTAATGGCTTTGTTTGCATTATCCCTCCTTCCCCGCCTATGCTGAAGACGAGGGGAGAAGGGAGGGTACGTAGGAGAAGCGGGGACTCACGTAGGGGCCGACAGCTGTGGGAAGGGAATGAATGAATTAGCGAAGGTTTCTATTGTGAATTGATAGTATTGTGGTTGCATATGAGGGATGACGCCCGGTGGGGGGGGGGGAGGAGAAGGCATTTTATGCTCATTCGATTCCGAATTAATTGTCTGGGGATGGCGGGGTAAGATAGCACTTACGCTGGGCAGCACCAGCAGTGTGAACGATGTCAAGACCGGTAGACATGGTGACGGATTGATTGAATCTGGGGCGAGGAAGGAGGGGAAGGGAGCGGCGGAGAGTCTGAAGGGCAGATGGAGTTGATGTTGAGGAGGAAGCGAAATGGGCGAGCAGAAGACGAGCACCGAAGGGAAACATTGGAGTGAGTGACTGACTTTACTAGCTAGTTGATGAGGGGAATCCCGCGGCAAACTGGCTTATCCGCCCGACATCGGGAAAGACGGTCTTGAATCAAGGGTAACTTACATAACGCCAGCTTGCTTGACTAGTAAGCAGTAACTACAGTGCATACATACACCAAATACAAATAAATGTCTTTACTGGAAGCTATCTTGGATATTTACAAGGAATGCAGACACTAGCGTTAGCTGATATGTCCTGATATGTCAAATATACACAAAATATGCGTTATGTACAGAGTCATGAATAATATGTCATAGCATCATTAGAATATCAAGTGATCAGAAGGGGGAAATCAAGACTGCAAGATTCACTCGAAGTGCCCTAACTTGCCCGGCTGCTGCAAAAATAAGGCCGTCTGCTCTGCAGAAAACCCGAAAAACACCGGACCATTGAACACCACGCTGTTCTTCGCCGGGTGCGGCGTAGGAGTGGCCGCATCCTGCGATTTCTCGCGGTCTTCCTTCACAGGGTCTTCGGTGTGATTTGATTCCTCGGGGTCTCGGATTGTCTTCGCATCTTGGGTAACTGCTGGGGCCTTGTTTCGGTTGTCACCAGAAGGCGCACCGTGACCAAAGGGGCAGCGTCCGGCTTTCGGGAGCGCGGCGTGAGGCTCGGGCGACGAATCGCCCATGGGCACGTTGGAAGATATATCAACGGCAGGTGTTCGAGGTGAAGGATGGGCTGTTGAATCGAGGGAGGTGGCAACGGGGGCTGCTGGAGATTGAGGTGCAGATGTGGTAACAGGGAGCGGCGTCACAGGGACAGGGATACCCCAAGGCCTACTTGGAGATTCTCCCACGCGAACCTCACGCAGAGGACGATCAAAATGCCCCTTTCGCTCCTCGTCTTCTTGCTCAACCTCGCCTTCCTCGCCTTTCTCTTCCTTGATGGGAAGATGCATGTCCGATTTCAGGCCCACCTCTTCGGCCCATTTCTCTACTCGTTCAGCAGACGAGCTTGATGGCGGTGCTCCGTTCTGGTTGGTACCGGGTAGGAAGGCTCGATGTTTGACGGACAGGCCTTGGATCATGCTGATCAAATTACCATACTTTGCATCTAAGTGCCGCATGGTCTGCGAGTCTCGTTGATACCGCTGCACGCAGATTGCATGGCTCCTGGGAATTTCATGCTTGTGTCTTTCGACATAGTCGGCAATCTCCTCCGGACTATGCTGATCTAGATATCTTATGGGACATCGCGAAACGGGACAACGGGTATTCGAAGACCGGGTCGAGGGCGCGCGACTTGAACGTCTATCATTTTGCTCGGCTTTGATCGGGTCCAGGTCGGCATGCCCGCACGTATCCTCGTTGTTATCCTGGGGAGCCAGCTCGACTCCGTCGGACCCTCCATTTTCAGAGGGCTTATTGTTAGGCTTCGCAAAAGGGCAACGCAAACTCCCCCGCATGCCCTTGGTAGTGAAGTCTTTTTCTAGGGTGCGAGGAAGCCCCGCTCTCGTGGCAACGAGACATGAGTTAAGGTCAAGCGGCTGCTTAGCATCGTTGGGAGGTATGATAGATAGATAGGATGTCAATCCCTCCCTAATGGAGGCAAGAGCCACATCTCCTACATTGCCGGACTCGGCAAGCGAATTTACTACGTCCGACAGGCTGGCTTGTTGTTTCGGCAGGTACTGATATTCGGCAAAGCGACCAGCAATCTTCTCGGCGACGATTTTGGTATGACCGTCAGGACCGCCAGGGAATTTGTCTGCTAACTTGGAGTACTGACAAGGGAAATTAGCATGTGGATTCCCAAGCAATGTAAATGGACACAAAGCAAAATAAGCAGATAGTGCAAGTCTCATCAGATAATACATGATATATCCGTCACCGCCGCAGATGCGACTCCTGATCTAGAGCTAATCGATTTTTCTCGTCCTTTGAGACAGAAGGGATGCAAGGCAGAGGGGGAGAGGGGAGTGGTGGAATTTACCTCAACAGAGGCATATTTCAGCCTTTGCTGCAATGTATTCTCCTTGCAGCTGAGTTGTTGGGTGGTCAGTAAAAGAGCTTCAAAGGCTCTGGCCAGAGTTTGCAGCTGGATATCCAGCTGCGGCTGAGGTTCGATGGGTGCAGGTGACATTTCAAGCATCAAGTCTGGAATTACACAGCAGACAGTACATCTGATAATCTAGCCAAGCACTTCTGCCGTGAGCAGAAGTGCGGAGAGGGATCATCGAGGTAGTGAATCTTGGAGGGGACGGAAGAATGAAACGACGAGGTTCCTCGAGCTGCTTTAAATGAACGGAAGCTAAGCGAGTTGGTCAGTGCGCATGTCACATGATGACCCGTCAGGCAACATCTTCCATGACATGCCAGCCTAACTCTAACTGGTCTTGCAGTTAGCTCTTGAGCTAGTAATTCGAACGTGCTCAGCATATCAGCCCGGCTAGCTCAATCGGCAGAGCGTGAGACTCTTAATCTCAAGGTTGCGGGTTCAACCCCCGCGTTGGGCTTATCTTTTTTCCTTCTCTTTTTCTTCATTCTTACTTACGTCTTTGCGTGGTTTCACATCTCATTTCCTAGAAGATGAGACGAGAATGACATCCGTGCGCACATAGCGTGGTCTTGCCCACGCATTGGTACTATGCAGACGCAACCGTTATGCTGCCGTCCGTCGAGGTGGCTGCAATTTAGCATAGCCCACGGTTCGGAACGGAGTGGCTGCCCCCTCTCGATGATAGCCAAGAGTTGCAGTCAAGCAACGAGATGCGGATAATGTCACCAGTCATGGCAAGAGTTCATGCCGTCTACCCTCGCCAGCTAACAACTGAAAGCAGGTGTGCTGATATACATTCTTTATGGGAAATCAAATGCTATGGGCCTGATTGAGATGAATTGCAGGATCTCTGTGAGCCTGGACCAATTCGATACACCACCCGCCGTATACGGCGCTTTAATAGATCCAGCACCAGGGCGAGATTCGAGTCCGGTTTTGTTTTGATAAGGATTGCGAGTATTTATATCGCATGGTGTACCCGTGTTTAATTTTGAGCCGACTAATCATTGATCAAGTCAACGACGTATATGCCTAAATAGCCCATTCATGCACATCGGGGTAATCCGCACCTTTGGGGATATTTATATAATCCCACCTACCAAGCCAGGCAGTGCCGCTGCATGCCCGCTGCATTGTGGGTGGATACGAAGCGGGAAATTTGGTATCAGAGCAAGACAATGTCAGAGGGTTTGACGATGCTGGGACCAGTCAGATTGCAGGGCTACGGTGGCTCGCGTATGATTTCCTGCACTATGCAGATGGTCTAGATATTCGCTCCGCATAAGTAGACTTCCAAGCACTGGTCAGTATAAACCATACACTTCCGCTAGTATTGTACACCAAGCACGACAACAAATGAGGGTGCTTCCCCAGCGGCGATTTTTCCGAGCAATCTGAGGGATGATAGTCTAGTATGCAGGGAGACAGGCTAGGCGACCAGTGCACAGCTAGGCAACGTTGCGCTTCAGCTGCAGGTCCGACAGCCACTTGGAGTAATCGACCGGGGGCGGCGGTAAGTTACCCAAAGTAGTAGCAGGATCTCAGGTCTTTCGAGTCTGCAGTAGTGAATATGCATGGCCTTAATTGAGTTGCCAGCCTGCCACATCATCTGGATTCCGGATCCCCGGCCAAGTCGGGTTAGACGGCAAAGTCGGAGGAAAGGCGGCGGTGTAGATGGAAACCGGTCCTCTGGTTGCCTTTGTCGAGCTTCATTGGGATCCATTGGGATCCATTGCGATCGTCCAACATCCACACGTGTTGCTCCGATTGGCGAGAACCTGGTATAACCTCAACTTAGTCTGTTTCCTTTTCTTTCTGGTGCAGTTGTTGCAAGGCCACAGCTATGGTTGTCGGAACAAGGAAATTGTGGTGTATATATAAAGTAACCGGGGTGGATTCCTGTTAGCAGTCCATGAAAGATGAAAAAAGATCCGAGTGCAGCACAGCATAACTAATAAGCGGAGGAGGTGACGATGATGTTGATGATCCATCAGAAACGCTTCTTCGTATCCATTGCAGCCGCTCCATCAACCGGGGGGATTGCAAGAGCCATGATGATTGTGACCATGGTGATGTGTTACACCGGCCATCATCTAATCTATACAGTACAATAATGACCGTCACCTGTCAGAACATCTGTAGCCAAAAGATAGGATAGAAGAGGTGGGGAAATCAATCGACTCTGGAGCATGCAGTGTATGAGTAAAGAGGCCTGTTCTAATTCGGGTAAGGTCAAGTTCCTGCGATACTAATTCAAATAGAAACACTTTACAGTACGTATATACATGTCTCTACAGAATGATAATACATGAAGTACATGCAACAGCCTTTCTTGCTATGGCACCATCGGCCGGAGGGGCAAAAGAACCCGCACCAAACAAATGCACTGGCGCAAGATCATGCAAGAAATCGGCTTGATCGCTGGCAGGAGAGGTATGCGCTATCCTCTCTGTCCCTCTCAATAGGTTGTTTGCATCAGTACGGAGTACACAGTAGAAGACTGGAAGATTAGTTCGGATTAGAGATGCTCTTGGCTGAGGAGGGAAGAGGGGAGGATAGATAAATGGATAAGGAATAATACGGGATACAGACTGTTACATCAGTCATAACCATTCCTGTACATATGAAGGACTGCTGTAGGCGGTATAGTGTATATTGATACCGGGCCATTACGCCTCCTACTCAGAAAATTACACTTATGATTTTTATTTTTTTTTCCCGATTAAATTTCCCCCTCCTTCGTCCTTATCACATCAAAATTTCTCTATTTTTACCTATTTGTGATCTTCCCATCACCCCTCACTAAAAGCCAATACTTACGGAATACTCCCTTTCTAACATAACCCCTCTTCCTTGTTCTTCCCTCCTTATCTTTCTAGTCTCATTCCTCTTCTTCCTTCTCCCCCTCCTTTTTTCTCCCCTCTTCTTCCTCCTCCTTCTCTTTCACCATGTCTCAATCAACTTCCACCCAGGATCCTCATGCCACCACCGCCGCCCAAGTCGCCGGACAGTCCGCCCCCAATGCCACCCGCGCCACCGAACTCGCCGATCTTAAAGTAAGCTTGCGCGGTGCTCTTCGTCAGTTCCCCAACTTCCCGCTGCCCGGAATTCTCTTCGAAGACATCCTCCCGATCTTTGCCAACCCCACCACCCACGAGGCTCTCGTGCGCTGCCTCGAGCTCCACATCCTCGAGAGCACCGGCAACCAGAAGCCCGATGTCATCGTTGGCTTGGAAGCCCGTGGCTTCTTGTTCGGCCCCAGCCTGGCTCTGAGAATGGGCGCTGGCTTCGTCCCCGTCCGCAAGCAGGGCAAGCTCCCCGGTCCCTGCGAGACCCAAGGCTACCAGAAGGAGTACGGCGAGGACTTCTTCCAGATGCAGTCTGACGCCATCAAGCCTGGCCAGAAGGTCGTCGTGGTGGATGACATTATTGCTACCGGTATGGATGTTCTCTCCTCAAGGGTCTGATAATCAGAGCGAACAAACACTAACGTGAACCCAGGTGGTTCGGCATATGCCGCTGGAGAACTGATTAAGAAGATGGGCGGTGATCTCATGGCTTTCGTTTTCATCCTCGAACTCGAGTTCCTCAAGGGCCGGGAGAAGCTTTCCGCCCCCGTCCACACTCTTCTCACCGGCCAGGAAGAGAAGGTCCTCTGATGCAACTCCCCAAGACAGCCAAATGCATTATATTGCCTCTCTGCTTGATTTCTTGGACAAAAATTCGCATAGTCAGAAAAAAGAGTTCATTTCGCCGAAAATGACCCGCCTGGACGGATTGCGGAAAGGTCGGTAAAGCTGGTATGATGCGTGTTTCGTCATGCAATCAGTTGATGGCCGATATGGCTTCGCTGCATCGTCTATCTCTTAGCCGACTACACTTTCCCCGACTGAGAATCTAAACCACGTCGGAGAGACGTTGAGACCTTAAAAGTTGCTCACCGTTGGGAATGACCCGGAATCTTGGATTGGTGTCTCTCGGGCACTCTGAAGTGAAATTACTCAATAGTGATCATGTGTGGCTCTTGGGCATCGGACAAGGCTGCGCATCCTTCTATACGCATAGACAATGAACCCCCTATATCGTTGATAATATTTTGAGTGAATCGATATCTCTTGTAAGGGTCAATAGACAGCTAATACATGTCTTGGGAAAATGGTCACCTTGTCTCCATCAATCCCAACGAACCATCCAACCTTCCAAACAGCCTGAATTACCTGGCGTGATATGTCTTGCGAACCCCTCTCAGCTGCGAGGGATAGACGGCCTCATAACCTCATTCGCCCACTTCTCCGGAAGCCCCAGAGCGACCGACTCCCGAATAGCGCGGTTCATCCGTGGGATGTACTCTTCCTTGGGCGGGCCCAACTTGACCCTCAATTCATCCACATACACCAATACTGGTACAGTGCTGCCGCTGCCGCTGCCACCATCATGACTCTTACCCTCCAACCACTGCACCACCTCCGCCTCCACCACCCACTTATTGTAGTCTCCCTGCCCCTGCTCCCGTGGCCGGACACTCAGCGCCGGGGGCGCCACCGCAGCCGGCGCATCCCAATCCACCCCCTCGAACCCATCTAACAGCCTCTCATCCCTCTCGTCCATCGCATACAGCACCCCGTAGACCGCATCCTCCGCCCCAGCAACGGGCACCTCTTCGTCCTGCACCCCGGTCTGCGGCCCGACGCGCATCTCCGGCGGCGGGAGAACGTTCGCATACCCCTGCTCGCAGATGAGCCAGCGCCAGTGCGGCAGACGCGCGATGGCGAGGGGCACGGAGGACGCGGGGCTGTGCACGCAGCGAGTGGCCATCTGGGAGGGGGAGAGGTTCGAGCCGTAGGCGAAGTAGAGCGGTCGTCGGTGTCGTCGTCGCTCCGAACGAGGATGGGATTGTTGCGGCGGGGTCGTCGGATTGGTCGGGTTGATGTTGCTGATGTTGATGTTGATGTTGATCGGTGTAGAGGCAGGGTCCGTGGGGAGATTCGGGGGGTCGTGGAGATGCATTTTACTTGGCCCACTTTGTTTTTCTGTGTGTGTGATGTGAGGAGTATCAAATGGTGTCTTTGAGTTCTGTTGAGACCTGTTCTGTACAATGGACGAGAAGGTGGTGGTGGTGAGAGCTGGGATGCAAGGTATGTACTGTATGTAGTGTATAGTGTATAGTATTTAGAATTGAATATATATATGCAAAATCTGAATGCACTGTACACTGCAATAAGTGGAAAAGGAAATGGGAATGGGAATGGAAATGGACAAAGAAGCCTAGGCTCTCTCGGAGGAGGAACAGGGACCGCCGTAGATGATTAGACTCCGGGATGGGCCGGACTCGGACAGAGGGAGGGGCTTTGGCAGAGAGGCCATACTCCCTAGAGTTGTGGTTGGTTGCTTCGTGTCGGGTTCGGCCCGATTGCCGGAGGCGACTGTCGATTCGATTCGTTTCACCCTGAGAAAAATGAACTCCTTACAGTCATCTAAGTATAAAAACACTGATACTGATGATATGATATATATGTTTTGATGTATTGATGTACTTTACGTACTGGGCGTATACATCGCATTGCATGTCATGTACATCACATATACTCTGTACCGGTTTCCTTGTACTGTATGTCTGTTAATACTAAGTACTCGTGCGTATGATGCATGCAGGTATGTACAGTACATATGACAGCAGAAATTCTAACTCTTCCATGATGTTATCTCAAATCGGTAACCCATACGTACTACACAATGTGTAAATTATGAATCGGGACCCCCTGGGATCGCACCGAATAGCGTCGCTTGATGCCCACTCTGGTCGCCTGTCGAAGCAATGCATAGGTCTCCTCGCCGCCACCCACCATCACCATACTGAGAAGATGACGTCGCGGAAGGCCGCCTGCGGTTAACTGGCTCTCATCGAGATGCGGGCGAACAAGATGTCGCTCGGCGCGTACAGCAGCCAGCCCGGGCGAGGCCGGCCCCGAGTCCGCCGTCTCCCACAATTCCTCCTCTTCGCTAGTTTGGGAGACCACTATCACAAGTTTCAGGGCCTGACGTGACGGCGGATACGCAGGAATATTGCGCAATTTCTCGGAGAAGCTGCATCCGCCGCGCCGAAGCACCAGAATTTGGTGATTCTGGACAATCTCCCGCGATAGACGGTGATCGCAGAGCTCGTCCGCGAAGTAGATGCTGGACCAGGGGAGGCGCCGTTTTGACAGGTCACCCGTCATCGATACTGTCGAAGCATCGTCCACATCCGGCAATGGGGCCGACCCGAGGCCAGTCGAGATGGCTGCGGGAATCATCAAACGCAATATTGAGGATTTCTGCGGCGGCAGACCCGTCTCAACATGCGCTTCGTCCCGGAGTAGGGTGGACAATGAACTCATTAAGGAGGATAGTACAGTTTTCATGCCAGAGATCGATGGATCGACACCGCCACTGTTGCCATTCACCAAAACCGAGTCGTGGATGATTGGGCCTCGAGCCTGTTGTGGTGCAGCGGGTTCAAGGCCATCATCTGAGTCATTTCGTCGACGAAGAAGCTCTGGCAATACATCAATGACAACGTCAATCATGATGGAGTCGCGTACACGCGTGAAGTTCGGGTCAGTGGGATCAAGCACATCAAATGTGATTTCCCGCGAAAGATATACCTTCTCATCCTTACCCAGCGGCACATTGTTGATCACCTGCACCCGAAATTCGTCATTGTCCGAGCTCTTCGCCATGCCAGGAACCGAGACATCTCGAACCATGCTCAGCCGCAGACCCCCGATGGCTTTCACGAGAATCCCATCCCGGACCCGTTCCAGTGATCCGGGGCCTACAACCATTCCGGGAAGTGCAGGGAAAGAGATATCGAGGGTTGGGCGAGAGATCAAGGGTGCACTGGTTCCGTTGAAAGGTATCAACTCCGGTGGCAACGTCCAAGGGTAGAACGTATAGTTTGTGGGTGATGAGAGGTCTGATACCGATATACTCGGATGGTCCTCAGCATATTCAACCAGAGGTCCCTCGGGAACGTCTCTGCTGGGCATGAGGTGTAGGCGAGCCAAGTTCGCGGCATGGAAAACATCAGGACGTGCTGCCGTGGATGAACCCACCAACGTAGGGGGAAGAGGAGCCATTTGGCAAACGGGTTCCTTGCTGCTCACACCCCCCGGTGTCTGTCGGCGTGTATGGAGTGCCGTGCTGCTCTTGGGTATCAGGAGTGGATGGCCCTCTGTAGAAAACACAAACGGTTGGTCCAGCTTGTTCAACGGGTGCGCGAAATCGAAAAGGAGAAACATGTATTTTGCGGTTTCTCCTAGAAAAAAGCTCTCCATTCGATCATTCAGCTCGCCATTACGGACATCCTGGATACCAGCCCAGCCGCACTTGGTCCAGCATCGGCGCTTGAGATCACTCAGAACCATCTCACCTACATGCAGATACCATGGATCTTTGGTTGCCCGGTACAGGTAGTAGGTGGATTCCACGAATTCCGGACGGCCGCCGTACCATGCCAGACCCTGCTCTATGTTTCCCGTGGCGACATTCCATCTTTCAGGCAGGCCTGAGAAACGGCTCCAAATGGCAGTGGTTAGAAGATGGATTCCAACTGCCTCATCTACCTCCCCGGCCAGCGCCAACAGCCCTGGGTAAAAGGCGCTGAGACTGTCTATCCAGAAAGCACGGGTCGCTCCTGTAAAGATGTCGCCTTGGATAAGGTGGGGGTGTTGATGTCCATCTCCCCGATACAAGTGCCTCTTGATGGACGCATGAGACTCCTGCCATACTTCCAAAAAGGCCTGCGCAGAGTGTTCGTGCTCACCCAAGGGCAGGAAGTAGTCATCCAAATGATGCCATGGACTGCTTGTGTTGTGGGGGGGTCGCTCTCCCGAGGAGAGTAAAACGTACGACTTAAATGCGTACTCAAAAAAGCTATCAATCCCCGCACCAATCTATCATTAATATGGTAAGCAAAGCACGGTTTATTGCCTAGCCATCGGAAAGTGCTCACCCCAGTGTACGAGTGTACCCATCGGCCCGATTCAGCATCAATACCAGACCCAATCAAGCCAATCTCACTTCTACGCGTCCAAACGGCCCAAAAAGCCCTCTTCGCAAGCTCTTCGTAGCGACCATCGCCTGTGAGCCTGCTTAGAACGGTGAATTCCAGGACAAGACTGCCGGCGCCAGCGCTGCATGTCTCCGTAGTTTCTGGGGATGGAGACCAGCGGCTTTTCTGGCAGCGTTCGGAGTTTGACCCATTGCACGGGTGATCCGCATTGAGCGGCGAGTTCGCGTAGAAGGGTTGCCGTTGGACTCCATGTCGCAGGTTGACCCGCGGGTAAGGAAGACCAGTGTCTGTATAGAACGCAGGCAGTAGACGGTTCCCCAGATCGACCGCGAGCCGCAAGAGTTGACCATCGTATACAAACCCGGAATTCCACATGATACCGTGCCCGTCGCTCTGGAAAGAGGACTTATCCCAGGCTTTTGCGAAGCCGGCTTCTCTATCTGGAGGATTGTACCCAACGATGGGAAGGTCACCTACAGCAAACAGATGAGCGCTGAGAAGTCCGCCTACCGTAATTAATGTCAGTCAGGGAGGTGTCTCTTCCTCGGTTCTCGTATGGATGCTAGTAGCGCATACCTAGCCCTCGGATGACCGTCTCAAACACCTGAACTTTGCTATCCATGTCAAATCCTCGGCTCCGTTCGCCCTGGCCTGCAGGGCTATCTGAACCATCTCCATAAAGCGTGACAAAATCCTCCACTCCCTTTTGAAAATAACCCAGAGCCTTTTGGCCATCCTCTGGACTCGACGCAAGGATAGCCAAGGATGATAGACTGTCGATTAGGGTCAGGGAATAGTTCCCAAGAACATCATTGAGCTCAGCGTGCGCAGGATTATCTCGGTCGCGGACCAACGGGCGACAAGTCAAGGGGCGGAGCTCGTCTTCGGGAAATGCATGTTGAATGTAATTGTCAAAGCCGTGATAGAACATATGCTCGGTCTCCTTCCTGGCCATAGACACCGCGAAGTACGGTTAGTGGAATTACTGAAACACGATCATCGCTTTGCAAGGTCTCACCTGAGCTCCCTAACTCGATCGATCCTCATTCCCTGGGCCATAGCAAGCCACGACGACAATAGCAAGACCCAGGTTATCACCCATTCTGAACGGAGGTTGGACATTTGAAAGCGCCAACATCCCTAGCGCATTACCGCAATGGCAAGTCGGATATCACTAGCATGTGAGCACGGAAACGGCTTGGGGCCACGAAAGGATATGCGAAACAGTGTCCTTCTGGCCCGACGAGCTTTTTCTCTAAAAGAGAGAAGAAATGCTTTTTTCTCCCCGAGGAAGTGGAAGAAAGGAGGGAAGGAATGTTGCGGTGGTGGGCAGCAGCCTCGCCGCGGGAGAAGCACGTGAGATCGCATCAACTTCCGCGGGATTTGGCGCAACCACGCATCCGAGCGAGCGGCCAGATATGCCTTTACAACTGATTATACCCGTCCTTTACCCCTGTCTTTGCTAATATCGGAGACAGACCAATAGCAAAGCTACAGTGATGACTTTCTGAGCTTACCCCTGATTCTTTTATAAAAAACTTCCATGTCAACATCCTAAATTCAATATATGATGGCGCTTATTCAATGCTGCTGCTGATATGCCACTATAACTCCCGCTTGAACCCAGACAACCAAAAGATCAGTAAGACAAGAACAAATTGACAAATATGATGTGATGCATATGTTGGGGTATATGTCGGATAAACGGAAAGAGTATGGCCACGGAGGCCTGAATCCCTGCAGGGCAGGATTTCTATCCAAGACAGCCGCACCAAGCGGGCGTAGAGCAGAACAAGAGGGAGTAAAGAACATCAATGCCACCGGGCCGATTCCTCCGGAGCATGCCATTGCGTGAAGGATCGTGGCTGCGCTTCGACAACGTAATCGATTCCATTATCGGAGATATAACTAGGCGGCCGGGGTCGTTGAGACTTGTTGCTGGGACCGCGTTCGTCGACCTTTGGTAATGAGGAATTTTTATCCACACGTTGCCAATACAACAAGTCAGGGTTCAGGCGCTATGATAAGATCAGCTGGTGCAAACAAGTAGGACCACACCCATCTGTAAACTCACCACGCTGCCTCTCCAAAGACCATACGCTGGAGGAGGTGCGGTTATCTTTTCACGAGCAGCGTCACGGCTTGCAGTCATAGCATCCTCATCCGCCGCCAGAACGACGTGGATGGGATGAGCCGGTTGTGCATAACCAGAGGGTCCTGCCCTGCTTGGTATGCGGTTTGTGGCGATCTCAGAATCAGGTCTTGGTACTATCGCCATGAGAAAACGAGTTAAAGCATGGCAGAAAACGATGCCAATTATTAGTATCATAAAGATCAAAAGAATTTGAAGCTCCCGGCCTAAAGTAGTGCGCGAAGCAGCGAATGCAAGGTATACTGCGACGACTGCAAGGAGGAACACTCCAGATGCAGTCAATGTGATGAGCCTCCTGCGAACCTTCCTCTCTGCAAAGATCGAGGTACATGAGCGCCTGCCACAGTTGGGACTGCCAGTGTTGCTTGCCAAAGCTAGATCTTGTGATTCTCTGCACAGGCCCATTTCAGCTTGCGGTTCATGGCCATTCCGCTCTGTAGATGACTGCATTTCGATAGGAAAGTATGTCCGCTGTGGCGCATATACTGATGCAGAGACATTTCCGGAATTGTTGAATGACGTTACAGGACCTTCACGCAGGCGGGGTCTCTGGTCTGGAGTGCGATCATCACCAAGGAGTTGTTGCTCATCAGCTAGGCGACGGTCATTTGCCCTAAATGCGATGCGTTGGCCAAGAGGCGAAGTGATGTGGGCTAGATGATCCGATCCGTGAGTGTTGTCAGACCATGCTGAGTTGGACAGCATGCCGGAGTTTAAGTTGGAATGTGTCGAATCTGGATGAGACAGCCGAACCGATTCCATGTTGAGAACCATTAATGGCCAATGACTGACATCTGGTCTGGTCCCAACGAGAGAGATGAAGAGCCAGAGTAAACGTCGAGATAGAATTGGATTTAATACCCAGAGAGAGCACTCAGGCGACAGACCCTCGAGTCGCAATGCGGTTTTCTTGTGGACGGAAGTATGTATGAATCCGAGGTCACTTCCGCATCCGTTTAACAACACACAAACAAGCTTTGAAGAAGCGTACACCGTGACGGAAGCCTCCTGCGAAGATCAACTTCAATGAAGCAAAACCGGAAATCCCAGGCAGATTCGGTGATTAGCGACGAGAATAGATAAGTCGGTTGAATTCGGCGTTATAAGTTCATGATGATTCAGCCCAAGTTGACTGAGGGGCACCGGGAAGCAGCATACGGGAACCCCGATCGCGAAACAAGAGGTGTCCAGCAACCAGAGGATCAATATTCAATGCGTCAAGTGACACAGGCAAGTATAATTGGAGTAAGACGACAATAGCAGCAGCAGGCTAAGCTTGCGGTCCAGGTTGTGTGAAGGTTAGATCAGTGGCTATACTCGGTGATGGAAACCCGGACTTGATAGCGAAGAAAATGAATATTATAGTAGCTGCAGCTAATCAGTAAAAAGGCAGTGAGCAAGTGAATGCGATGATACTGAGATGAAGGTAATCGACAATGATATGTGATATGTGCACAGGAGATAACGAAATGATGGATACTGGCTGAAGAGAGAAAGGAGAGGAAGGAAAGGGTCTGATCGATAAGAAGTCAGTTTGGGCAAGTTAGCGAGGGGCAGGATGTGTATGTCGGAACAGAGGGAGAGATGATCGTCTCATCATAATTATGAAATGAAAATTGGATTATAGAGGAAGAAGGAGAAATAGCAGAACGTAGGATAGAGAGAGAGACCGAAAGACCGAGAGACAGAAAGAAAGAGACTTAGTAGGGAGAGACAGACACAGAATGCGGCGGCGTGTGTTGAGCAGGGGGAAGCAACAGCAAGCCGCGGCCCGACGGTAGTTTAGTGCAGTGGTGGTCTCCAGTTGTTTCCATAAGTAGCAACTAGAGGACTAACTAACACTAATTTTGGAGCCACTCAGTGTCATCATTACATGGATGGAGTAGCTCACTTCGCTGGTCGCGTTTGCGATGTGAATAAAAATTGACAATTAACTAACAAATAGATAACCAACAGCTTAATTTCAGTATCAGTGCCGATTATCTATAATTAGTATTATCGATTCACCACCCTCTGCTCAATCAATCCCTTGGTTTTCATACTTTTCAAGTTATATTCTTATCTTGTTTTAGGCAATCTGCCATGAAGCATTTACCCCTGGATGACCCACGTTTGCCGCTCGGGTCTACAGCCACACTTCAGAACCAACACATGGTAAACGCAGTAGTACAGTAGTATTCTCACTCTTCAGTGATGTCATGGTTGATGCTGGTTACCATATAATGAATATTTGGCTGCACCGCCCGCATGAGATTAATAATGTACACCAAATGGAGGAGCTAAACAACTACAGGAGCGGACAAAGATGCCGTGTGGTGGGTGTGGTGTCCCGCTGATGATTATTGAAATGGGGGTGACCCAATGGAGATCTAATGGTAGCCTTTTGCTGTCATGCGCACTTCAAACCTCGTTCTTGTTTATTCAAGTAACTCTCCTACCTAGGATGTCCCAGACCTCGCTTGGACGTGCTGCTGTGACCATCATGATCCAGAGCCACACGAACCCTCGGAGCGTTCAGCTTGAAATGATGAGCGTGGTATATTCCAGTTGCTTCTTATGCGGTACCGTGACGTTGATTACATCGCTAGACGTCTGACATAACCCCGAAGACAAGTTCACTTGCCTAGTTCGCCGAGCAGAAGAGTGCGATCCGATGACCCGGACACAACTATTCGAGAAGAGTTAGAACATAACAGTCAAGCAAAGGACAGAAAAAAACTCCACAGCCGATGACTTACTGATGGGCTTGTTGTTCGGTGAAAAACGAACATCATTAACGGTTCCCTTATGTCCTGGTAATTTGTATAGGAGCTTTCCGCTCTTAGAGTTCCACACGACAACACTTCGGTCACCGCTTCCGGTAGCAATCTTCTCACCCGTTGCGTCCCAACTGGCCCGAATTAAATTCTCTTCCAGACCAACTGGGGCGCCATCGAAAGTTCGAATGTGTCGATTGGTTGGTGCGAAAGGCCGAACGTCCCACGTCCGTACAGTAGAGTCGAAAGAGTTGGAGAGAAGCGATTGCGAGTCTGGGGATAGTTCGAGCGAGGTGATGGTATGCGTGTGTCCTGTTAATGAATATACAATACCTTTCTTTCGAAGATCCCACGCATGAATGGCGTTGTCGATACCACCACTGAATATCTCATTTCCAGCCTCGGAGAGGGCCACCGCAGTGATAGGAAGTTCGGTTTCCAGACAATCGATAGCGTCTTTCTGCCGAGGATCCCAGATGCCTATGCTGCCATCATTGCTAGCGCTAACGAGTAACTCCTGGCCTCTTTTGCTGATATCAAGACAATTGATATAATCTTCATGGCCCACGTGTCGTCGGATCCTTTGACCTGTTTCTAGGTCCCAGCTGGCAAGCGTCATGTCTGTCGATGCGGAGAATATCGTCTTGGAGTCTCGAGACCATTGAAGATCACGAATAGCACCCCGATGACCCGACAATGCGCCATAATTCTCACATTCTCCGTAAGTATTCCAGAGCACTATTTGTCAACGATGTTAGCGTCTGGTATTTAAGTTGAAAAAAGCTGAGTGGGTTGCTCACAGATTGATCTGTCCATCGATCCTGAAGCAATGTGCTGACCCGTTGGATCAAATCGTACAGAGAAAACCTCGCCGGAATGACCTGATATATATGTTAACCGACAGGAAGTTGCCTACCCTCCGCGCAAGCCTACCTGTCAATTCCATGATTGGGGCCCGGAGCCCGCTGGTGCGGGGAACCTGTTGTCGGGATCAGAACAGACACTCGGTAGATTTTTTCGGGCTATTCAGTGACCTACTGCTTGCACGAGAGCCCCATTTTGCGAAGAGCCCTTGACCACAGCTGCACTGTTATCGATACCAGCATCGGACTTCTTTCGCTTGACGACTAGCTGGTTGGATGACCCGAAGGCCTCTTGAGCAGGTCGCTTCTCGCCGGACATCATTTTGTAATGAGCTGGCTCGCCAACGGGTAAGAAACACGTGATGGTCGACAGGCGCGGGAAGACACCGAGAAATGTTGAGATAGGATTCGGAAATGTGCTAGGTTAGAATTAGAAGGGTATGAGGGATAGAGAGTGCTGAGTGAGGGCCTGGTCTTTCTCCCGAGCATCGCAATCATGGATGCTGTGTGACATTAGGCGCGATAGACGCCCGCGGATGGTCCACTAGGCGGTGAAGCTCCGCCTCGGTCCCCAGATCGAGCGGGGAGAGTTCATTGTCAACACTCGGCCGGCTACCCAGGCAGCTGAGATCGGATATCCTGTTCCCTTGAATTTTCGCCCTCAATCCTTGGCTGTCAGAGACAGACCTCAGCGCCTATCATGTCATCAACTACCAAAGCATCCAGGATTGGCGAAGAGTAAGCAAAGCCGCAGTTCCACCTAATGATCTACACATCCGCTAACATGACTATTGTGCTAGACTATGGAAGTAAGTGAGCGGCGCGAGAATCATGGTGCCGAGGGCAGTTCTCCAATTAAGGGACGTGGGGACTCACCACCTGGCTTTGATAGAACAAGAGTCGACAAAGTCAATGCAGAGCTAGTCACGTTGACATATGGAACGATTGTCGCACAACTTTGTCAGGACTATGACGGAAACTATCAGGAGGTCAACAAGCAGCTGGAAAAGATGGGCTACAACATCGGAATGCGCCTTATTGAGGATTTTCTGGCGAAATCGAATGTAGGCCGTTGTGCTAATTTCCGGGAGACGGCAGACATGATTTCTAAGGTAGAGCTTATTACTTCGATCTCGCTCGGACGTCTTGGGATCAATGAGCTGACTCCTGGAATGTATGACAGGTCGGATTTCGGATATTCCTCAATATCGCCCCCACTGTAACGAATTGGACAAGTGACAACAATCAATTCTCGTTGGTGTTTGATGAAAACCCGCTTGCAGACTTTGTTGAACTACCAGATGATGGGCGGGCTCAAGATGAGCTTTGGTTCTCAAATATTCTGTGCGGTGTTCTGCGGGGGGCTTTAGAGATGGTAATATTTTCTAACCCAGCCAAAATTCTCGCACGCGGGCTACTGATTCTGTCAACAGGTACAAATGCAGATCGAGGCGCATTTTGTAAGCGATGTACTGCGAGGAGATGACACCACGGAGATGCGCGTATCACTTGTGAGGTACATTGAAGATGAGATGCCACCTGAGGAGGAATAAACACGGCGGGAAGTGTGTTGCATGAATTTAGATTATTGGTCGAGGCGTCCGGTGTTTGCGGGTTTTACATTCAGTATCCTAATTTGCAGCTGCAACGGTTGATCGAGATCACCGGTACCTTATGATTGATGGAGCTACAAGTAAAGGAAACATTCTATGTGCGATACATGTACATTTATACACTTATCGTGAGGGCTACACAAGGAAAAGGGACAAGATGTAAAATCTTTAAACCCTGACGAAGGTTTAAAGGAGTGACCCTGTAATCAAGAATGAACGTGCAAAGACAGTTGCATATAAAGAATAGGCCAGGATCAGATCCTAGATCGGATTAATTGGGGTTGGTGAAGATCACTCTGCCCTAATAGTATAAGTGACACTTCAAACATTTGCAGCGGCATAAATTCATCTAACACATTACTTCTAACACATTACTTCATAATTTCATAATTTTCTTTTTCACCACCGCCGCAACCGTGAACTAGCTGTGAGCGGATAAAGTATTTTTAAGATGATAATGATAACAATCTTCAAACACCATGAGCTCCATCCTTTTTATGTACATAGTTAAGGTTGAGATATGCAATTAGATGGGACGATGACATGAGGAGATGTGGCCGGGTCCACGTGATGCACTAAGCCCCAATAGGCAGCGAACAACTTCCCTTGACTGTGCTAAGAATTACGCAGGGTCCCAGTCCGTCCTGGAGGACTACGACTTTATCGATAGATAGAGCAACTTAAACTGTAGAGGCTTAGAGCATTTGACATTTGAGATGCTTGCAAAGTTTCATACTTGTTAGTATTGACTACAAGTATTTGTCCAACTGGATCTGCTGAATTGTTAGCTCAATTGATAGGTATGTACCGATATCGTTGCGTCCAACAGCAGTCTCAATCTTGCCCCCGACTATATTCGCCATCGATAGGTGATTTGTGTCGCGCGAGATAGATCAATTCCCTTCCCATCGTCATTTTGGTTACTACGGTCTCCGGTCTCTACTCCCGTAGACCAGCCATCGATCCATCCATCCTTTTTAGACTCAGCGTCTGTCTGATCTGATGATTTCTGTTGATTCAAAACGAAGAGTGGGTGATCACACTGCATGCTCGAATTTTTCAGAATTTTTTTTTTCTATTTCTTGCTGCTCAATCTGTGTTCTGTGTGTACTTGACTTTCCCAGAAGCTCACCAGCTCTCCTCAGCTGTCTAGATACATCACTTTGACCCGATCGGTCTTCTCTTGTTTTGCCTCTGGGAAAAGGACTTGGCTCTCCACCTTTCCGTCCCTTCCCTTCTTTCTTCCCCTACTCAATCACCTTACTACTACTCACTCACCAACTACGAGTAAATCCTCTCTTTTGTCTTTCTTTTGCTTTTTCTGGTTCTGTATTAGTGCTGGTAAGTTTATTTTATCATAATTCGATATTTTGCCTCTTTGTTCCTGTTGTCATCATTATTATCATTATCATCATCATCAATAATTTTTTTCCCTTTGCTTCTATTCTTCCTTGGGGGTGGTTGTGTTGCCGCCATATGTTGTGGAAGTGCATGCTGAAATATACGCCAGCCAGCAGCATCTCCCAGCCCTCCTGCGGCGTTCCGATCAAATTCTTCCGTTCCGAACAAGCGATTCACGCCCAGCCGGCAGTGATTGAACAGCCCAGCAACTCCAGGCACCGCGCCTGATATCCACGTCCTCCCACCCACCAGAGAACACCTCAGATCCACCGCTACACCTTGTCCTAACCTTCGCCTCTCCTCCCTCCTCCTCCCTCCCTTCCCCCCCCCTCCCTCCACCTTTTCCTCGAATCTGCCGGATCTCTCCGTCTCTTTCCACTTTCTCCCTCCCACACACCCACCCACCCCCATTCCCTTTTTCTGCAGGGGCTCTGGTGCTTTACTCTTAGCCCCTCTTGAAGTCCTCCTCTCCCTCCGCCTCTTCTGGATTTCCAGGTGGTGGTACTTGTTCTTGAACTTTTGAGACGCCTCCTGGGCCGTCTTCTCTCTCCTATACGCCGTTCCCGTCCTTCGCCTACTCGTGTCGCTTGTCGCCGCCCCCATATCTCATATTAGCTGATTCTACCGCGCATTCTCGAGCGGCTGGGTCTTTGTACGAACATAATACTCTTGTCCCTGTGTTGCTTTTCCATCTCACCCGACACTGCTCCCTCTGACCATCCATCTTTTATCGTGTCGGTTTAGCGACAGATTCTTTCGTACATACTTGTTCCATTCGCTCCCGCGTGAGACACGCTGGTCTTGGTTCGGGGATCACCGCGACTGCGTTGTCCTTCCGCGCTACATCGAGTCAGTTAGGCGATTTCGCGTCTGGTTTAAATACTTTCAACTGTCTGATATCGGGCCGGAAGCCGCTGTGATCTAACCTCTTCCCATCGCCTGGGTATCCGCGCGTCTCATCTTTCTGCTTGTCGTGAACCCTTTCGCCGTGAGACGGTGGATGCGCGTTGAAAATATTTGATATTAACAATTGTCCGGTGAGGGTGGCTTACCCCTTCGTGTGCCACCATGAACCAAATGAACGTGGCTGGGATGAACCCCGGTGCGGGCGGTCCTGTGGGAGGTGTTCCAATGATCAACAACGGTTCTGCGGCCCCTCGCAACGATGCAACTATCCACACTATCCCTGAGAGCACAGTCGGCAACCTCAACACTTTTATCTACGACTACTTCCTGAAACGCGGTTACTATGAGTGCGCCAGAGCGCTCGTGAAGGATGAATCTGTAAAACTCAATACCGAACCCCCTATCAAGACGAGCCCCGGCCATCGTCGCGATGGTGATGTGAATGGGGTCGATGGAGATGCAATGATGTCTGATGCAAAGGATGGGGATAAGAAGATACCCGATGATCTTCCTCGCCCTCACATCTCGAGCGAAGGTCAACAGTCGTCTTTCCTTCTCGAATGGTTCAGTCTTTTCTGGGAGTTCTTTTGGGCCCAGCGCAAGAAGGGAAACAGTGCTGATGTGCGACAATACCTCAATCATACCCAGGTATGTATCATTCGCAAGCCCGCAATATACCTTGGAGTCTAACTGGGGCTTTGTAGAACATTATGCGCCTCAGAGAGCAACACCAAAATCAACTTTTACGGCAGCAGCCGCTGATGCCTGGCCAGATGGGACAAATGAACATTCGACGCAACGGCATGGTTCCCCAACCTCTTCAGAAGACCGCTCTGCAGAACAATACTCCAGGCCTGTATGCTCATTCTTCTGCATTTCCTGCAGGTTGCAGGTGATATACTGATTTGTTATATAGGACCCAACAACAACTGCAGCAGCTTCAAAAAAATCAGCACCAACAACTCCAAATGATGCAAATGACTCGCGAGCACTCAGACATCGATATGAACGGCCACCGACCACAATCCCCCTCGTCCGCAGAAAACGCCCCATCTCCCTCGAAGCGGCCCCGTCTTGAAGGTGGCCTCATGAATGGCCAGCAATTAGCTCCCAACGGACGCGCTCAAGTCCAGGGCATGCCAGGCCAACCGAACCCTCAGGCCGCCCTCTTGATGCAGAATGGACTCAACCGGGCGATGAACCCCAATCAATTCCAGGCTTTCCCGCAGTCAGGACCTGCTGCGCAGCAGAAATCTATCCAGGTATATGCTCAGAACTTGGCCATTCATCACTCACGCTCAGCAATGAATAACCAGGGTATGCCGAATGGTATGATGAACCCCGGTGTCATGCAAAACCAGACGGATATGGTGTCCATGCCAGATGGCCAGGTGTATCCCATCAACGGCGACTACTATGGCGCGAATGGTCAAATGGCCCAGGTCCGGAACGGGATGCAGACACCTGGCGGTCAGCCCGGAAACCACGCTCTTCAAGATTATCAGATGCAACTTATGCTGCTTGAACAGCAGAATAAGCGGCGTTTGATGATGGCTCGCCAAGAGCAGGATAGCATGGCCCGTCCTGACGGCCAGCCCCCGCTGCCTGGGCAGCCGGGCCTGCAACCAGGCACTTCTCCCCAAGGCAGCAGGGCGGGCACGTCGCCAAATCCCAACGATCAAATGAAACGGGGCACGCCGAAAATGCCCCAGACCGGTCTCCCCGGCTCCCCCAGTGCCGGCGACGCGATGGCCCAGGGTCGTGGTTCTCCCGCCTCCATGAACTTCGGTAATCAGATTCCTCCTGAAATGGCCGGCCAGTTCTTCGTGAAGGGTATACCTGATGGCATGACCGGCCCCAACGGTATGCGACCCCCAAGCTCCAACCCAGCGTTTAGCGCCCCTCAGATGGGTCAACCCATTCCCGCCGGCGCCGGAAACCGGGTACCCAGTGGAAATTGGCAACCCCAGCAGGGTGCCCAGCAACCCATGGCTCCGCAACAATCGCCTGCAAACCAACCTCAGTCGACTGGAACTCCACAGGAGAGGAACGCTATGCCGCCTCCCCAGGCCCCTCCTGCAGCCGGTGGCAACACTGGGCGCACTCAGCCACCCTCCCCCCAGACGGCCGCAGCCGCCCCACCGACGCCGCAGCAGGCGAACAAGCCTGCCCCTAAAAAGAAGGAGGCTAAGGACACTCGGAAGGTATGTATCTATGGGTTTCATTCTTGCGCATTCGTGGCTTCGTCCATGTTACTAATGATCGCAGCGGCCTTCGAAGAAAGCAACCACTGCTGCTGCAGCGGCTGCCGCATCAGCAAACGCGGCTGCCACACCATCCTCCGAAGCCGAACACCCGCCCACTCCTACTCCATCCACCCCAATCACCCCTCAGCATCCAGCCTCGTTCAACAAGGCGGGTGTCAATGTTACGACTAGTGCTCCTCAGCAGCCTACGTCTGCCCCCGCACCTCAGCCGCTCGTGCAGCCCCCACCCGATCAGGGTCAGCAATTCGGCGAGCTTGGTGTACCTGATGTATGTCATCCAAATTCTGGGATTCCCACATGGATTGCTGTGAACGAGAAATTGTATGCTGATTGCCATAGCCACAGGTGTTCAACCTCGATTTCAGCGCTCTAGAGAACCCAGACATTCTCGAGAACTTTGATTTCGACACATTCCTCAACACCGACGCCGACACGGCTGGATTTGGATTTGATCCCAATATATCGTATCCTACCGACGGTGTTGAGACCGGTGCCGGGGATGGCCTATGAATGTGATCCGACGGTTGTTCAGTTCTTAACTCATATACCCTTGCTTTGTACATTTCCATAAACTTCGACATGTGCTGTGCTTCTGTTCTATTTTCTTCCTTGCTGCCGTCACTAACCGTCTCTCACTGTTGACATGATTTGGATACGTGCTTTACTGACAAGGCGTTGGCGTATCCGTCCTGCATATTCCTTCCTTTGCTTTGCCAACGAGAGGTGCTTGAAAACTGGCTCCGGAGGACATGGCTTGTATACAAGCCGCTCTCTTTAAGTTCTACGCATTCTTCTGTGGCCTTTGTTTTGAAATTCCTTCTATTTCTTCTACTATTATTATTTGATTAATTTTGTCCCTTTTACCAATTCTCCCCCCCTTGAGGCCACCTTCGGGTGTGATGTTTCTCTAGCGTTAGCCATGCAGACACCTTATCCACTCCTACCTTAATACTCGGGATCCCCATCCACAATATGTACGTCCTTGGCTGGCCTTTTTCTTCACTCTCTTCTCAAAGTCCTTTCCTTTCTATTCTTCCCTACAAACAGGTTCTACTTGTTTCGATCATTTATCTTCCCCTTTTTTTTCCCTTTGTCTTACTTGCTATCTTCCTTGTTTTTTGACTTTGGCGTTACCAATGAGGTTCTAGTCGCTACTTTGACTCTTCTTACGGGAATGGTTTTATGAATCGAGGAAGAGGATTGACGTCTTCTCTTAGGCTTTTTCTTTCTGCCTCACTTCAATTTTACATCGTATCCAATTCCAGCCGAGATCTGCGTTGCAACCATGCTTGCTCCCTTGCCTATATGCAATTCTCTATCTATGTCGTTCTGGAATATCTGCTCCCTCGCCTTTTTCACAAGAGATCTGGTGCGCTTCAGCCGGCCTACTTCAAACCAGACCCATCCACTGAAATTTCTACTCTCGTCAGGGTATGGTAAAAGTGATTATAGCAATTTCATTGTTACAATATGTCATCGCGTCGCTGGTGTTTTTATGACTCGCACATTCATCAAGATAGTCAATTCTCCATCAGCGCAGCTGGGGCCATCCACATAGAGAACACTTCTACCGCCATGCATTCAGACCCACACAGGACCCAATTCCCCTCCAGTCCTTTCCCCCCATCCCTGAAAACAAAACCGCCAACGTACAACATGCGATGACGCCAGGAATTGAAATATCCCTCGGAAATAGACCAGTCTACGCCCAGGAAACAATATCTATCCGTGAGCACTTCTTGAATCTGGCATCAAGTCATGGGTAACTGACAGCTGGTTTCCAGCAACAACGCACACTACTACTGGTGATCATGCACCATAGTATCTTCAGTTTTGGCTTTCCACTGCTCGACACTCTGACGGTGTTCCGCAATTTTGGTCTCAAGCTCTTCGTCCTCTTTGACCATCCGTATCAAGTACTTAATAACCTCTTCGGCACAGGCTTGTTCGGCCAGTGACCTGCTGTCCTGCAGACCGGTCACGGGGCCGACGGCGCCGGCGCGTCGGAGGAATGGATCGGTCTTGAAGTAAGCCCCTACAGTATATTCTCCGCGTGTGTCGATCAAGCGCCCATCCTGTCAGTCAACTCGGATCTCGGGGTATTCCAAACGGAGGAGATCGCAGACCTCTGTACGTAGAAGCATATAGTTAGTAGCTTGGCCAACAAGCACAAGAACAAGCACCCTGGATTTACTTTGCAATTTTTCAGTAGACGAAGCCAGATCATGTATCTGCCTCTGGATTTGACAGGGCGTCACTGCCCACCTCTTTTCTTCTTTCTCGACAGGTACTACAATCGATGCCAACCTGGAATGTTGAAGTGGCAACATGTTTGAGTTCCGAGGGACGCTTTTGGCACGCTTTCTGTTGCCATCAACCTCGTTAGGGAACCCAGCTGAGGGCTCATGTTCAACTTGTCGTTTCTTCTGATGGAACTGCACGATACGTTCACGTTTCGTCTTCTTGCGAGAGGCTTTTGCATGGTTGGTATTTCCCCAAATGTAGGCCCGTGCCTGGAGAGGGTCTCTTGGAACCAGGGCGGCAACCTAGCATCCATCCTTTCCTGAGTCAGCGTGCCCGAGAGGTTGCTATTTGTTTCAGAGCCATCATTGTATAGATGCCGCAGAGCCAACAAGGCGCATGATCTTTGTGAGAGTTCATCTTCAGCATAGGTCCCAGTTCTGCCAGTGTAGGTCGTACGGTGGACCTGAACCTTGTGATAAACCTCGTTTCCGTGCATGACTCTAGTGTAGCGGGGCAATTCAAAGCCATTGTGAGTACAGAATTCTGCCGGGAAGCTGGTCAGACGAGCCTAAAACATGCGATGACAGAGTTTCTTGCCTTGGAGGAGATCAATCCAGTCCCAATCGACCCACGATTCAATGTTGTCAAAATCATCAGGCAAAATCCAATCCGGAAAGTCAAGTTGCAGCTTCTTCAGTGCAGCGCGACAGACATCGGACTTGGCCTCTCTTTGACTATCATAAACGGTCGACTTAATGATAGTGTGCCCATACATGGTGAGCTTGACTTCCCAGCGACGAGTTTTCAAGAAATCGAACTGAAAACGCGGAAGGAGCAGTGCCTGTGTCGTGAGAACACCAAAGCAAAAAAGAACCACATCATCTTCCAGGAAATCCAAGTCTACATCTGCGAAACGTGAAATCTTCGCGGGTGAATCCTTCATTTCCACGCTTCGACGACCACAAACGTTGGCTTGCGCGCTTGGGGCTCTTCTTCGCTCCAGATATTGGGGCTTGTTTCGCGTTTTAGATTCGCAGGGGCAAATGAAGGCACAATCTGGGGTTGTATGAGACGTGACGTTGGGAATACATGAGATGTAGGTGGTGGAAGCGGGTTCTGGCCCTCTGCTGGAGTAGACGCCCGATCAATGAGTTTCCAATATGGCGATGGATCATAAGCCCAATGTGAGCCGTACTCATACTGTGAGATTACATCTGTGAATGGAGTACTCGAAGTGGATGAGGCTGCTAAAGCCTCGTGCGGAAGGAGGTGGTTTTTGTCCATGGTCAGCAACAATTTGAGAATTTATGACAGGGACGATGACAACCGATCGAAGGAAATGGAGTTCAGTTTCAGTTATCAGGAAGAGAGAGCGGGAGGCGAAGAAAGAAACAATTAAGAGAGGGAAGTGAGTAGAGAGAAATGAGAAGGCAGAGTAAGAAGAAATGTAAAGGGCAAGTGAAGGGCACACCTTCCGAGTTTGGGCTAGAGAGCTATTGGGAAAGAAACCGACCCATGTGAGAATTTGTATCATTGAATTGACATCGCAATGCAATTTCTCGATTCACATGCATGCTAACCATGTTAATTTTACCTCCGACGACCGACAGACTCTTTCGATAGGGATAGATATATAGGTATGATCAATGAATGTCCAGGGTCCAGTGTCCAGTGTCCAGTGACCAGCAACCCAGCATCGGTCCCATGAGCTGTACCTGCACGCCTGTTGCTGGAAACGGAGCATGAATCACGCGTAGAGTAACACAGAAGGTAGAGTGCAAGGTGAAACTATCATCTGACAATGAAACATACGAAAGAGACTGCACCTAGTAGTAATGTAACGATAAGACTAATCGATCTCTGCCACATCCAAGGCCGTGCTGACAGCAAGCGGCGGTCTCGTCTCAAGGGAGCCATCAAGGTTCGCATGATGAACCAGGTGTCCACCCATAGGTAAGTCTTTAGTGGGAGACAGCAAGATGGGTACCTGTTTGTATTCGCAAAGGTCCTCGCTTCCACCAGCAGAGCCAGATGATAGATCCGCCTTGGGCTCGGTTGGCGTACCCATAACTCCGCTGGTACGTACTGTAGGCCTCAGCGGTGTCTGGCGAGCTTTGCCACTATCCTTCCCAGATGTCTCTATCGAGATTTCATTCTCTTTGTTCTCGTAAGATAGACCTTCCTTGCGACTCTTGACATGCGTGCTGGGACTGGCATGCACCTTGCCTGTTGCTGCAGCTTCAGCAGCCGGGTTTGTCTTCGTGCTTGAAGCCGACATTTCCCTGGTCTCGGGCACCGATGTCTCTCTCAATTCGGATGCTCGTCCTGTACTCTTCGAGTAAGACGCAGATCGAGCTCTCGCTGCCGCCGAAAGCTTAGCCCCCATGGGCAGCGCAGTCGAAGGTGTGTTTGTTGGCGCATACGTGCCACAGTTGAGGGGTGCAGGACTCAGCGCTTCTAATAACTGAGTGTACGACTCCTCGTCGATAGGGGTGACGATGCTAGGATGCTTGCTGTGTTCATAACTGATGCCCGTCATGCTTGAAATGGCGCGACTGCTACTGGAGTTGGACGTATAGTCCGGCATAGGCACATCTTCCCAGGACGCTCTAGCTCCTCGGTGGCGTGCAGCCGGGTCGAGCACGCAGGGGTCAATGAAGGGATCTGTTACGAATTGTTCTTGAGGCAGCCATCTGGACTCGCCTGGTTGGCCTTGCCATTGGGGTACCTGCCGCTGATAATTGCGGTAAGTCCAAGAGCTGCACCCAGATTGGTTGCTGGTCTGGCTTCTAGTGGCCAAGATCTGTCGACCTTCATTTCTTGAAGGTGAGTGCGCGTGGCTATCTTCAGGTTCTTTCATATTGCTTATAGCACACCTAGAGTTGTACTTAAACAGCCGGGGCTCACGCGTCCACATAGAGGGATTCGGCCAGGCAATTTCGGAGTATTCAAGAATCTCTAGTTCTTGTCAGTGAGGCTTGTAAGCCGGTGATTCATAGCACAACTCACGGAGAGGAGCATGCTGGAAAGCAAATACGATGACTTCTTTCACACGTTCGAAGGGGGGCGAGCGGTGAGGTCGCGAAAACCCTTCAGCAATTACTACCCTGATCCTGCCGTAGAGTTCACCAGCATCCCAATGCGGTTGCTTCAGGATTTCATGGTGAAACGTAGGGAAACGGAGACAATCTTGGTTGCCGCTTTTATCGACATCTGGGCCAAACTAAGTCAGGAAGCTCACTCGAACAGCAGAGAATTGACAGGGATTTTGAAACGCACAGGAACTTAGGTCTAAGCCAGCAGAGTCATCTCAGTCGGCTCTGCTTGCATGTCACGTCCGACTCGAGGGCATCAAGACTTACCGAGAACATGAGGCCAAGAGGATCTCTGAGTAAACACACTACCGCTACAAGATATTAGCAAGCACGACTCCGAACGAAGGAGCCTGCAGACGACTGAAGGTTGCTTACGACACGCAAAGCCCGTCGATGAAGACGCGGACTTCAAAGAGCAATGAATCATCTGGCTGAAGAAGACTTTCCATGAACCGGCTAGGCACAGGCCTATCCCAGCTATGAATGGACACTCGAAAAGGAGTATTTTGACGCAAGCTTGGAATGAACGTAGTCAAAACCGGCAACTGTCCCAGATTGCCTTGTGGTATGGAGCATGAGGCTGGGTTGATAAGGGCTGGGCTGTGCAGGTAGGGAGATTCTGCACGGACGTTAGCAAAGAACGCACACATGCATCTGGCCGTAAAACTCCTTGAGCACTACTAACCTTTGTCCTTGGTGACAAAACATTGCGTCTTGAATTCTTGGAGAGGCACCTTGGAAGTTTCAGGGAAGATAAGCACATCCCAATTTTCGTAGCGCATATTGAAACTTCTTTCGTGGGTATCTCTATTTGAGGAGAGGGGCGAAGGGCGAGGGGGATGGATAAATTGAGCAAGGAAGAATCGACGGATAGTAAGATATGTCAAGTATAAGTACCCTCCTCAACCGGTGATTTTATTGAAGAAGACCCAAGAGCAGGCCTGGGATTGAGATGGAGAGCAAGTATAAAACGAGACGACAGAGTGGAAATGCACAGACAGAAGGGGAGTAATTGAGAAAGAGAAAGAGAAAGAGACAGAGCAAGGAAGGAAGGCGGGATAAGGAGTAGAAGGAGGAGGAGGAGGAGGAGGAGGAGGAGGAGGAGGAAAGGTCGGTAGGTGAATAATAGTACCTAGATACCAAATCTGGAGGCAGATGGGGACGTCCAATGGACAATAGGCAATGGACAATGATGGTAAGTAAGCAAGTAGGAGAAGCAGAAGGAGTAGGACCAGGGAGCAGGACCAGCACCTGCCTTGATCGGACGCTTTCCTGCAATCTATGGGAGGTCAACTCAATCAATACCTAATTGATAGACAGGCATCTATATCGCGTTCAAGGTTCCAAGTTCCAAGTTCCATATACTACATAGCGGAATGAGCTCAGCCCCCGCGAGCCAATATATCGCCACTTCGATATGGCAGGTAACAACAGTTATAATGGCAAGAACGACAACAGCAGCAGGAGGACAGGGTCAAAATCCTGTCAGGCGAAAGGGGAATCGTCCGCACCGCAAAGAAACAGAAACACACACAAAAAAAAAAAGAAATAAATAATAGAAGACCATATTACAACACAGCAAGTTCAGCGCCCTCGAGGCTAAGCCGCATCGGCCAGACCTCCTCAATGGAATCCCAAGGACAACTACAGATTAGATCACGAAACAGGCAAAGCGAGTGAAGCCCATCACTCCAAATGCCAAGTCATGACGCTTTGCGAGTACAGTCAAGAGAGGGGACGACGACATATATCAGAGATATTCGTTTATGACACCGTCGCGAGAGAGAGAAAGCATCAAAGCATGTATCGAAAACGGTATGTTCCACAGGGAACAGAATTGGAGGAACAAATGGCGACGACGCCGGAACGGATAATTGTTATACAGGCCCACAAAATGATCAGAAAGCACAGCGCGACATCCTCAGAACGAGACACTTGTTTGGATTGCTTCATGAAAGGGGAATCTCAGATGAACTTTTCGCAAAAAGCCTGCCCAGGGAGTATATGGGAACCAATGCGCAAATGAAACAAATCCGATTGCTGTCGTACACGTAAGGATAAGACCTGTGGAGGCCCATAAGACATAATGATCAATGTAAGATAGGGGTTGGGAGGCATTGGAATGGATCGAAACGCATACAACAGACTGGATGAGAGGGGAATTGGTGGGGGAGGTAAGAAGTAGAAACATCAAGATAAAATAGGATAAGATATGATAGAAATAGAAACAGAGCTCAAATGCTGCTAAAGGAAAAATAAAGCGCTCGCATATGAAGTACGTAGCACAGGAGAAAATGCCCATCCAGAGCTATAGAGGGTAACTTTCGCAGAAATAATAGCAGACTGGTTATGACACACAAAAGAGACCCATCGTGAAATGACGCAAAACTCCTGCTGTTTCTTTCAAACTAAAGAGGAACGCTCTTTTACTAGACATTGGAGTCAATAAACCCAGGTCCGAGTGCTGCCAGGGCCGCTCACTGGGGGGAACTAACCTTCATAGGAGCAAAGCCGCCGTACTGGTGTGCGGGGGGCATGCCCATCGAAGGGTACATGGGAGGCGGAGGGGGAGCAGGACGGTAGGGGCTGCCAGCAGGGCCAGAGTTGTTCTGGGAGCGACCCCAGCTCAAGCGAACACGGGAGTTACCAATGGGGTAACCCTGCATCTGGTTGATGGCCATCTCAGCGGCGTGACGCTGAACGAACTGGACAAAGCCGCAACCCTTTCCAGGGGGGATCTTGACGTAGGTAATCTCGCCGAAGCCCTGGAAGAAGGAGCGGAGCTCATCCTCAGTGACATAGCCAGACAGACCACCGACGAAAACAGTGGTGTTGTTAGGGTCGGTGAACTGGTTCATGGGCTGGGGAGCGCCGTAGAAGCCCATAGGGGGAGCACCCATGGGAGGGTACATGCCCGGCCCGGCGGGCATACCCATGGCACCAGGAACAACGCCGGGTCCCTTGTTCTTGGGAGTAGCGGTGGAGATGCGCATGGGGCGGTTACCACAGTAAACACCCTGCATCTCGCTCAGGGCACGCTGCTGGTCGTTCTCGTCGGAGAAGCGGACGAAGCCATAACCGCGGGACATGCCGCTGATGGGATCGGTCATAATCTTAGCCGACTTGCAAGACGGGAAGCGGCTCTGGAAGAGGGAGACGAGCACGTATTCGTTGACCTCGGGGCCAAGGTCACCGACGAAAATAGAGTATTCGGGACCACGGTCATCACGGCTAGAGGCAAAGTTAACTCAGGCATGTCCATATCGTGTCGAAAGATGAAGGCCCTTACCTGCGATCAGCGAGACCACCACCGGTGGCCCAGTTAAGCTTGAACAGGCGGTTGGTGTTGGGCATGGGGGTGCCGTTGAGGGACAGAGCCTTGGCAGCAGCAGCGGGGGAGGCGAAATCGACGAAGCAGTATCCAGCGTTGCTCCTACTACCAACATTAGGATCGCCTTCAATCCACAAGCATTTATGCATTACTCACCCAGAGAACTTGTCACGGATCATCTTAACGTTGACCTGCTCACCCATCTGGAACCACAAGTTGCGAACGAAGTTCTCATCGATCCAGGGCTCAAGTTCGCCCATCCTAAAGGACGATTCGGTAAGATTTTCATGACATGCCTTTTGCGGAGTTTGGATAGACATACCAGAGGGTAGTCTTGCCCTCATTAGCCTGCTGGGGAACAGGAGCGGCATTGGGCTCACCGGGAGCAGGTCCCTGGAAAGCAGCAGTGCTAGGATCAGCCTGGCCGGTCATGGTGGTGTCCGCGGTAGCGGGAGCACCGGGAGCGGCAGCAGCAGCATCAGCAGCAGGGTGCTGGTTTTGGAAAGATTCAAAGTTCTGGAAAGACATATTGACGTAAAGATTCGACTTTCGTAACGATAATTGCGGCAACGGTATCTGGGCGGTGACAAGCTAATGTTACTAAACTGAAACCCCAATTCTCAAGCTCAAACAGTAGCACTGTCCGAGCGACTGCAAAATGAGGACATAGATTATCGTCGTACCTTAAAGTGCAGGCGGAAGGAGAATGAACTCAAGCGAAATCAACTTTTCTATACCGAAAATGGCCCGTGCGACAAGGGGTTCGTTCAAGTCGTCAAGGAGTAAGACGTAGGATCGTTCAGGTTCGGAAAATGATTAAGACAAATCACTTCCTGAGAATATAAGGAGCTTTGGTTAGCGATGTGGAATGGATGATTGAGCAGAGCGACAGAATTTTCACAGCAGCTCGTGGAATGGTGGAAAAAAAGCAGTGTATCAAACAGGGAAACAAATCAAAAGGCAACATGGGCCATGCAGAAAGCTGAATAATGCAATTTAAAAGCGAAACATGGACAAGCCAGGCGCAAGCGAAATCAGTAGAAAACGAGATGAAGAGACTGAGAAAGTCTTTGTTGAGGGTGAATCGATGGGGAGTTTTTTTTTTTGGCTTCGAGCGGACCAAGCGAGAAAAGATGGAAGAGGATAGGGTAACAGGAAGGGATCAGCCCGACAGGGAATTCGCTCCCTTCCTGCGCCAAGACTCAGGTTCCTCCGGGTGATGGCAGCGGAATAGCCGGAAATGTGATGTTTAGGGTGTGAAAGACAAGAACCGGAATGGCGAGTATGCTCAGGGTCATTGTGTGCAATTAGCTGGAGCTTTCAACCCGTTCATAGCCGCATTCGTCGATGACATATCCCGAATTTCGGATCCATCCGCGTCCGGTTGCGACCGTGTCAATTGGCCCATCCAATCCTCCCTTCACTGCACTACTCAGAACCAGGAGATTATCGAACCAAGCCGGTCAATGGCGACGATGGAGAGGTAGCGATCTTCCGCGTAGACAGAATCATTCGAACGACCGTTCAAGTCCGTCGGCCAAGCGACCGTAGCGATGAGAAGCCGCGGGCGCGTGGTGCATCATCGGGAAGTAAACTCGGCAAAGGTTCTGCCTCCAGATTTGTGCCCCAGATGTCCGCGAGCAGGCTGCTGATCGATCGACAACCATGTTGAAGGCGCTTGATGTTATATTGATCGTAGAGGGACATTTGATAACCGGTATGGCTGGCCGAAGTATCCCGCGCAAGCACCATCGATAGGCAGAAAATGAAAACGTGATGACTCAAGCCAAAAGAGGATAGAACAGGCAAAAACATCGAAAGCAAAACAAAAGAAGAATTTAATATCATGAGAAATACTCTACTTACCAGGCAATGTCAAAAATCGCAACGTAAGTATTGGCTTAGAGACGAGAGATGCGTTGCTTTGGCGTGGCACAAGTATGCGTGAAGACAGGGACGTCACAGAGAAACCAGGAACTGGACAATCGAGATAACTCCGGCGAGGTGGAGAATAATAGGAAGCAAATCCAAAGAGAAATAGTTAAGAGAGGGAAAAGACACAGAACTATCCGCGAAACCGACTCCGTGTTTTCCGAAAAGCACACAAGGGAAGGGTGGAAGAACTCAAGAAGAGAACAGGGAGGACAAAAATGGGGTGGGGGGAGGGGAGGTGAGAAGAGAGAAGAGAGGAAAGAGGAAAGAGGAACGAAGAAAGAAGAGGGGTAGGAAGAAAAGATATTTCTTCAGAGGATCCGATGGAGGGGAGAGAAAGGGAAAGAAAGGGAAAGGAAACGAGGAAGAATGGGCAAGAGGCTACTACTTTGCTAGGGCAGACCAAGGACGGGAGAAGCAGAGCAACTCGTTAGACGAACAAACGAACTAATCAATTCTTTGGGGGAAATCAAACCTGGGTCCAAGAAAAGGAAAAAAAAAAATTACAAATAAAAATCAAAGTAATAATAATAATATAATAATACCAGGAAAAAATGCCAATTCAATGGATCCAAAATAGGACAAACGGCTAGAAGTTAAGAATGAATAATCATAGGTGCTGCTGACTGCTGGAGGGCAAGGCGTACTCAACTCTAGGCTCTTATTTCATCAATTGCAGCAACAGCACTGCTGCTGTTGTTGCAAGCAAACTACTCAGTGGGTAACAAGCAACAAGCAACAAGCAACAAGCAACAAGCAACAAGCAACAAGCAACAAGCAACAAGCAACAAGCAACAAGCAACAAGCACCAGCAGCCGCAGAAGGGAAGGAGAAGTGAGGAGGGGCGCAGCAGTCTACAGTTCTGTCTGTACCTGCCAGCTGGGTGGGACGAAAGTTTGCCGACTACTACTGGAATAGTCGTTTTTCTACCAAAATCTTCTCCTCCATTTTGCTCTTCTTTGTTGGGTAGACAATCCTGGTTGAACCAACCCTATGACCGGCTCAGCAGCTGTGAGTGTGCATTGGGTGGGTGTAGATCTGGATTTCGACGTGCAGGTGGGATCGTGTGGCCTTACCGCAACCCAGGAGGATCTAGTGATAAGTCTAGTACTGTAGGTACTGTACACCTCGGTACTCCGTACAAGTAGTATTAGGTATCTTTATGCAATGACCTTTTCTTGTATGCCGGGTGTACAACCTTACAGGATGTATGTTTTAGCTTGTTCCACCTCCAATCGTGCTTACTTTGAGGCTGATCAACTTGCACAGTACAATACATAAGCACTATCGTGGATGTAATTCACCCTGCAGGCTTTGTGAGTGTCCGAGAATTGGAGCTACCCCGGTATCTAATTGTCCTCGCTATGATTATTTCCATAGCAGCTTCTCAATCGAAAAAATAAAAACATCCTCCGTTTTGTCATGATGAATCCAGGCAGGCTTTGCGGGCCCTGGATTAGTGAGATCAAGGCTCTTGGATAGACCATACATACCTGGACTATACATACGGGTATTGAGAGGTTGTGGTGGATACCTACGTGGACCATCGGACCCAGCCCAACCAAATCGCCCTCGAACCAGATGACTGCTGCATCCTGCGGGCTTGCGACTCGACATGATTCTTATTTCTATCGCACGCGACCCTATTTTCCCCCATTCTCGTGTCCCCAAGTGGTAGGGAGAGTGTGCTGGATGATAAAATTACTTTCCTGTATATCTTCGACAACTCGGGGCAGTCCATTGTCGCTGAGTGAAGTAGGAAACGAAATAACGATAGCTTTGAAGGTGCCAATACCCGTTCTCTTAAGAGGATCCCTGATTGTGTAGGATTATCAGCAGTAGATTAGCCCGTCGAGTATTTAATAACGATTGGCACCTCTCACAGATAATGGTGGTGTTGCATCATGGACTTGATCCTCCTCGAGCACTGCTCACGATGTGTATGTAGCATGATCCTGGCGCAAGGAGAGAGAGAGAGAGAAGAAGTGGGGAGCAGACGGTGGCTGGGTCCGATCTCCTTGATATGTGCATACTCATACGTACTTTACAAGGCCTGGAGGACTTGGAAGCATCTCAGGAGTCAAGGGGCGGGCAAGCAGATAACCGATTGCACTAACATAGTAACTCTTCTGGCAAAATATCAGAACAAGTGAGAGAGTACGGAGCACCAGAAGGCATTACATGTAATGAGGGCAAATGGCCGAGCAAAGCTGTATGGAAATCTGCAAGGACCTGACTTGAATGATGCATACTCGGTGGATAACCCACCCAAGCTGAGACTGAGGTCTTTTCCTTCCTCCGTTCGTTTTGCTTGATTTATTTGATTTATTTAGGGGGTTTTTTTTCTTTTTGGTTTTTTTCCCGGCAACGCGCTATGACTCGCCCGGTCCCATTCGCGTGCCATGGGCCCTTATCGTCATGGGTTTTATTCCATTCTCCGCTTGGCCTGGCGGATGCCTGAGGTACTCTGTCATTCGTAGATCGGTTTCCGCTTGCAGCCTAAATCCCACCATTTGTTCCTTGGGATCGGCCCTGAAGCTGTGCCCTAGCCTAGTTCATACTTGTCCACACCCGGGAGCCGGAAGGCTGGTTGAAGCCGACGGGCTGGAAAAGATGCCCACTAACCACTGAAATAACTTACCTATACATTTACAAATGGAAACAGATGAAGACATGGTATGGTTGTCCTGATCATGTTGAGACAAAGAAGAACAGAAGAGACAAAGTGGACGCCTGGACTGCCCGGTGGGAGGGTGCAAATGAAAGGGCGAAAAAAATCCTCGCCCCCACCAGTGCGGCCCCAGTCCATGGATTTGAGAGCTGCTAATGCTCAATCCGGATGACGAAAACCCTCAGAGAGGGTTAGTCACCGCTGAAGCTCATTCGAAAATCAAAAACCATGTGGTTGTGGATGGTTCCTGTGGCCTAGCACGGGGGCGCTGGCTAGTAGACTAGACTCTGGAGTCTAGCACACTGTCCACTGAGATACAAATGGTCTTGTTGAGATCCCAAAATGGAGAAGAGACACAAGGTCTGAGGGGACTAGCTACTCAGGCCACTGCCTTACTGAATGAGCACATCTGATTAGGTTTAAACTTAATGTTTGGTGGCAGGGTACATGTAATACAAACATAATCACTCAGAGAGGTATTGATATAAGTGCTTAACTAATTAGTGCAGAATTTGACAAAGTACCCGCCGGAAAGACACAGGTCAGTCGAGGCCGTCAGTTGGTCCATGCAGCAGGATCGGGGTATTCGATTGATTGTACTTGAGCCACGTTTGAGGTTGCAGAAAATGGCTCTAGTAGCTTCGAAGAGATCAGTATAGCTAGACATGAATCAATCCATAGTATGTACTCTGCTGAGCATATGCTCATCTGTACAGACAGCCTACTAAGCAAGTAATTAGGTAATGTGAGGCAGACTCCACACCATCCAGTGCCCGGACGGTGGAAACTACCTCCATGAGGCTCTCATTGGCCACTGCTGTATGTAATCAATCTAGTTTTAACTAAGGTGTCCACGGCATACTGTGTGTGCAGTTAGAGCAGACTGCCTAGTAAGTTACCGTAACCTACCATTACACTGCACCTAACCCATTCAACACGAAGTGTCTCAAGATAACTATCTGAATATTTAGCTTCCGTGTGTTTCATCCACAAAAAGTATGTATACTCGTACCTCTTTTGCCATTCAAAACCAAGATACATGTAGCATCCGAATTGACTCTCCCCGTTTCAATCTACCGACGAACGGCGAGATTCCTCTTTTTCCTATCAGAACGCGGACGCGGACGCGACGCGAATCACTCTATAACAGAGTGCGAGTTTCCTCTGGCACATACAACTTGCCCATGATCCATCCTCCTCTCTATCTCCCTCCCATCCACACACTCTGGCATGAGCAAGGGTGCATCGTACTATGTTACTCTGCACAGTACAGTACAGTACTACATACATACAGGACATGCACCCAGCGCTCATCATAATAAGTACTTATTATACATAATACTCAGTAATCGATGAGGAAGCGCAAGGCTGCTTTTATGGGTACGCTCACGCCCCTCATTCATGTTGACCCGATCGAGGATTTGCCATGCGAGGATTGCAGCACAACTAAGCCCGAATCGAGTGGTGCGACTGTGCTCCGGTCCAAGCTGTGCGTGCTCCCCTCTGGAGGGGAGGGTTACACGATCATGCCTGGGTCAGCACTCGGTCCCTTGCAGATAACTTTCCTCCCTGGAGAGTTCAGTCTCAAACCAACCACTCCCATTACCCCGTCGGGAGTTACTCGGATTTACTGACTACACCAATGCTATGAGTAGACCAGATCTATATAGTATAAAATCTAGTATTCAAGTTGGACTTACTGCTATGCTTTCCGTAGCCGGATTCCATTCACCAGACAGTGAGTGATCTTGAGAAAAGAAAATTGTTTCATTGTCTCGCAGCACGAACTCCTCTGTCTCAATTCTCCAATGCAGTTCTCTGGAATGGGAATTGCAGGAACCATGGGATGAATCCGATCTAAGAGGATTTCGTAATCCTCAATGCCAGTAGTTCAAGCAGTACCAGGGGTCGGCAGGTCATGACCAGTAGACTATTAGGGTGCTGATATGCAGCGCAGTCGAAATCCCGACAGCCGACAACGACAACCTATACGTGTCGTGTCAGGTGTGGAAAATCTGGGACGTGTTCGACTCGACACGACACGACACGACACGTTCAGCAGATTCTAGCTCCAAGCTATTATCGGAGGCTGACCAGGCATGCGCCAAGGCCAAGTCTTCCTATTGTGCTGCTGCATTGAATCAGCACAATCCAGACATAGCTAGCAGTTCACACCCCAATATCTTTCCGGTCAATCAAGTCAATCCGGGTATCATTCAAAGCAGAAACACCAACGAGTAGATAAATGTCTTGAGGACCCTATGAAAAGCATCAGGTTCCAATCAATCTGCCTCCGCATCCAACAACCCATCGCATTGGTCGGCTTCCTCCCCAGCAGCCATATCAGTATCGCAGAACTCCCCAGTATCGGCCTGCCCCAACTCATCCCCAAGCAATTGGATCGTCTTCTCATACACCTTGGCCGTTTCCATCTCCCACCTACCGGGGATCGGATACTCATCCATCCCCAGCGCATCATCCATCAACTCATCCTCATCATCGTTCTCACTACTATCCCCAAACCCATTCCTCTCACCATCATCATCGTCATCGCCAAGATCCTCCTGCTCCCTCGCCTCCACAACCACAACCCGACAGGTCTCCGCGATACTCTTGATACGCACCTTCTCCGTCATCGAGACTACGTTCGTCCGTGCCTCAAACCCCGGCAACGGCGCCCCGGAGTCCACATCCTCCCCCAGCAGGAGCGACGCAAAGACGGAGTCCAGCTTCCGCAGCAACCGGAACGTCGCCTTCGCCGAGAATGGATAATCCGGTAGATAAGAGTTGACCTGAACGGCCAACGAGATCAGGTAGGGTATCTGTAATGAAGCTGCCAAATAGAAAAGCACCAACACATGTCCGTCAGCCAGCCAATATGAGACCACGACGTCTTTTCCTTCACTGTTGTTGCAACCCAAAAGGGAAAAAAAAGAGAGGGAAGGGAGAAACATACGAGTCCCACTAACCCACAAAACATCCACCAAACTCTCAAAGTCTTTCGCTACTTCCCTAAAGCTCTCGTAGCCCCTTTCTGACTCGGTCACCGGTGCTATGCGCTGGCTGTTGCTGCCATTGCTGTTGCTCTTGCTGCTGTTGTTGTTATCACCAATCAAAGCCCCGCTGAACTTCTTAGCATGCCGGCGGTTGATGGACAGAAGCTTCTTGTCGATATACTCTAGGACCGTGGCTTCTTTTGCGGAACCCAGCCGCAAAGGGTGGGCGCGTGGTTTGGGGAGAAGCGATGGGGCTGCGGTGGATGTGGTGGGTGTCGGGGATGGAAGATGTGCTGATGGTGGGATGAAGCCACCCCCCCCTCCTCCTCCTATGTCGCCGGCGTCTTGTCCTCGGGGCATGGTCGCTGGTGAAAGTGCAGCCATGTAGACAATTCTTTTCTTGTTAGGTTCTTTGATTAAACTGAAGGAGGTGTCCTGGCTTTTTGCCGCGAGCTACTCGTACGAAGCAGAGAAGATCAGAAGTAGATAGTGGTTGTACCGCAGAGCTATCTGCTAACTATCTTGCGTGACGTCGAACTACTCAATGCGGTATAGCGGGTTCTCGGTGGCTTGAACCCAGCGGCGACGTCTCAAGAACAAAGGAATTTTATCGAAGAGATTTTTATTGGAAGCGATCCGCATTCACGAGGTGATGTCGCACTCAGTCAAGCTATTAAGTAGTTCATTAAGTAGTAACTACTACGGAGTAATGGTAGCGGCTGTGGAGGGGTGCCACCTACGGAAGCTTGACAGATAGCTCTTTCAAGGGTCGGTTCTATTTGTCTTTTAAGTAGTTTGCTAACTTGAAACAGCATATCTCAAAAGTACTCAGTGTTTCCTGGTGACTGCTTCCTGTCCTAAAAATGTTGCCTGTTCAGAAAATATCCCCTTGATTCTGCAGGAAACAACATTGATGCCTCTGACCATGCAAGTCCATAAATTGGAGACTTTTGGCAAGGCAGTTGGCGGTTAGAATGGGTCTCGAGATTCTAACCACCCAAAGTCTACAGAATTCGCGACATAAGCCTGTTCGTATGGAAAAGTATGGATTGATCCAAGCGATCGCCAGTGCTGGTCCGACTTTCGTGACGCTCTCTGTACCCCAGAAGTCAATTAGCACGTGTTCCAGAAAAGACCCATGAATCTCCACAACGTCTATTCCCAAACTCTGGCTTCAGAAAGGTGAGAAGATTGAGTAATGCTGGTTTTTGAAGGCATGGCAGGACATCAAGCCGCTAGCTGAGTCTTGCTATTCTGGCCCCAGCGGATTCATCATATGCATACAAAGTACGGAAAAACAAAAAGGTTAGGTGTTAGGGCACAAAACATAAACGTAGCACTCACATCACTGGAGATATTTACCTCTGCCTCAAAACACAGGATTCTATCTACCCGAAAGACTCGACTTTTGGAATAATCCCTTCCCTAACGCCGCGCTAAACCAAGACGATGTGTGGAATAATTGACTTGTAGAGAATCCCGGCCGAGAGACACAATCACTCAGGCTGCAGAGAAGGCACATGGAAGTGCGTTCGTTAGCTTCTTGAAATCAAACGAGGGCCCCAGAGGAGCAAACGCAAAGGAACCTTCTCGAGCCAAACTCACCGCGAATTTCCCCTTTCTCCTCTTCAGATCCGCCAGCTTCTTCTTATCTTCATCGAACTTTCGCAACAGCTCATGTTGCCTTTCCTTCCTCTTCTCTCGGGACTGGAAGCGGTAGAAGTCCTCCAGGCCCTCCTGCTTCTTCTTCTGCTTCTCGATCAACTCCCGCGCCTCATCCTCGTGGGTCGCGTCCGCCAGCTTGGGTCCACTCGTGACCGTCACGAAGCCATCCTCGTCCGGCTCCTGGGCCTTGCGCGCCGCCTCGCGCTTCCGGCTCTCGGCCACCTGCTCGAACACCGTCATGAAATCATTGACCGTGCGGAGCAATTCTCCGCGGCTGGGGTACCGAGCCTGTGAGTGGAAGAGATACCGCTCCAGCCCGAGAGCCGGCACACGGTCCTCGTCAAGCCCTTCCCCCAAACAATTTTCTTGCTGCCACTGACCGCCTTGCGCGCGGCCTTCCGAGCAGCCTTCAGACTGGCCTCCATGCTGGGCTGATCCACAAAAACCACAACGGCGTGCGCTCCGCTCTTCTGGAGCGGCCGGTCCCAGATCGCGGGGAGTGCGATATCCTCCAGCTGAGACTCCAGCTCATCGGCGGTGACGCGCTTCCGTTTCTTGGCCTTGCTGCCGCCGCCGCCGACATTTGCCTGCGGTATCGCGGCCTGATTCTTCTTCGTGGGGACGGATTCGAAGTGGACGCGCTCAACTCGGCCGGCCGCGAGCTGGGTACCGAAGAGGTGGCGCAAGTGAATCTCGGTCGTGTCGATGGGCACGTTGACGATGAACATCGAGCGAGGGGTGTCTTCGTCAGGAATGCGAGGTTCGTGGGCTCGGAGATACATGTAATGCGTCGCGGCCTTTGCAGAGGAGGTCTTGGGGAGCTGCAGGGGTAGCACGGCGTAACCCGCCACCTCAAGGTCTTTCTTCATCGTAGCCATCCGAAATCCTAACTTGAAACAAAAACCACCCGACTCTTTGATGCGAATTATGCGAGCGGAAGCAGGAGATTGGGATGGATGCGCAGCCAAAGAAGGCGAATTGTAATCGGGGTAACTTTTTTTTCTCGATTTGGGCGGGGAGATAATTTTGCACCGGCAGTTTGGAAGGCGGAGAGAGTGTAAGTTACCCCGACAAGCAGAAACGTCCGAAAGGAAGAGTTCAGGTCAATTGACAACTAAACACGAAATACGCACATACTCGTACAGTACGTTTAAATATCATCTCGAAGGAACATGAACCTTGCCATGATGCAAAATTACAGCCATCGATGATTCGGTAATCAATCGCGATACATCCGACATGCACCCTGTCATGTTATGCCCTAAGGACATACATGTTCCACCCACTACACTTTGTCTGGATCATTGATTCCGCCGTTGGTAATCAGATAAGTTGCCTCACGCTCAGGGCAATCTGAAAAGAATTAGGCAGAGTTCATGTTCGATGAGAGTAACTTAGCAAACCCGGTGAATCTTGGATCTTGGCCACTCGCTCCTCGCCACGCCCCTTCCGAAGTAGCACTCGGGTTGTAGATGCATGCGCAAGGACATGCCCACCAACCGGCTTACGGCCATCGGCCCCGGCAAAAAGAGCGCTGGCGCCAGGGTCACTTTGAACCTGATTGGTCTGCATCTCGATGAGAATGGGTCCGTACATATAGCACAGGGTTAGAAGAACGACAACAAACCATCAGGACGCAGACGTTGAACTCTGCACGTTCAGATATAGTTAGCCTTGTGACGTATCTCATGTAAGGGTTGCATATATGTAGCACCATACCTTCAGCCATATGGGCAAGTCTCATCAGGAATTGATTCAATTTCTGCTGACGCTCTGCAAGTTCCCCGCGTCCACAGTAGTCGACGCGGAAGCAATTCATGATGCTGTCAATTATCAGCAGCCGATACTCCCCGGAGGCAAACTCGCGACTCAGGGTATTCAGTAGCTCTAGCTGATGCTCGCTGTTAAGGGCTCGAGCGTAAGCGATGTTCTCCTGCGTGGAGTCTGGGTCAACCCCAAAGCGTTCGGCGATCTGAGCAATGCGCTCGGGTCTGAAAGTGCCTTCTGTATCGATATATGCCACTTTGCCATCGGCCCCGCCCATTTCCTTTGGGAGCTGGGCAATGACGGACATGGTATGCGAGAGTTGGGTCTTGCCGCAGCGGAACTCACCATACACCTCGCTGATGCTCATGCTCTGAAAGCCCCTGCGAGGACCGTGATGATTAGAATACGTCAATGGTGCATATCTTAAGGTAACAGAAACTCACCCCCCTAAGATGGAGTCGAACTGTTTGCTCCCTGTTGAGATGCGTACCACCTTTTTGCGCTGGTGGCTCAGCTCCATCGCTGTCATGAAACCAGAGGCCGAGGGCTGATTCCGGGCCATGAGATTCACTCCTCGGAGAGCATATCGGGGAATTTAAGCACCCACCAGGCATTTCTGAATAGCATCCTTGATCTTCTCAACCTTGACTTCACTGAAGCCGCGGATCTTTAGCAATGTTCTCCGCGTAGCGCTATGAACGGACTGCAGAGAAAGTCAACAGGTGAGCAGGTGGTCAAGAGAAGGAGCGGTTGGACACGATGGCATACTGCAACTGTGAAGTAACCATTCGCCTTCAGCTTGTTGATATCGGCAACTCCAATCCCTATTTGCTAATGAGCCAGATGAAGTAGGGAAAGAATGAGGGAAGCAGTGAAAGAGAGGCCGAAGGTATACCGTGAGATTGGATTGAATCAATATCGACGATGAAGGCCTGTCATGGGAGAAAAGTAGTTCAGCTTTTGGCAGACAGGATTTCCAAAAGATCAAGCGAACTGAGAGGATGAGCAGGGGATCTACATCGTTACCGAACTCGTCACTTGTGTCAGAGCCTGGCATGGTTCTTGCCTGAAAGCGCCGGGTTAAAGTCGTCTAGAATATATGTCGACGAATAAAGAATATGGTGTCGCCTGTTGCTAGGACCAGATCGTAGAAGGGGTGGGCGAAACCATGGAGTGGGTGGGAGGTAACAACAGTACTGCATGTACGTTGTAGTATCCAGCAGGCGCAGCAGCACAGAACTGGAAACCCCAACAGAAGTACTACTGATCGAGCACCCCCACCACGCAACGCAAACCAAACCCAACATCAGAGTACGCCCTTGAGAAAATTACTTTCAGTGGTGTTTCTTCGTTTTTGTATTTTTGTTTCGCTTCCCAATCGAGGTATATGAGAAGGATATAGTACGAAAAGATGAGTAGGTTGCCACAGCGCCAGGTAAGTCTTTTCACCAGTCACACATCTTCAGCAAATACACACCCATACACAATAATTCCAGCAACCCCTTTTTAAAGCCTGTTCCCATGCGGTCCACCATTTGTCTGTTCTGCGCTCAATTAACCCCTCGCCTCGCCTGGGCCTCGTCTCCTTCTTTTCTTGCCGCACCTGATTTGTGTAAATGAGAAAGATACCCGAGGTGATCAATGTGATCAATAGACGCCATCCATAAGTCCCTGAGCAGTGTTTAGGACCCAAGCAGTAAGGAAAACCAAGACTTCGTGAAACTTTTGTTGTTCGTCGTATACATAACGGAGATTGATATCAGTCGGTACCAAGAGTTGTAATGGTGGGAGGCCGCAATATATGCAAAGGAAGAAACGTGGAATAAAAAGAAAATCGAGACCAATGTCGGCTAGCCCTAATACAAAAAGAAAGAATGGGAGTGGCTCCCAATGATTGGGGATGAACAATCGTAGAGGTTTATTTAGGCAACAGCGGCGGGAGCTGCAGGCGCAATAGCGGCGGCCTCCTGGCTGGCCTCACCACCGGCGGCAGGGGCAGGGGCGGCAGGGGCGGCAGTAGTCGCATCGACAGGCTTCGGGACAACACCGTTGGGGCAATCGCGAGAGATGTGGCCGGCCTGGGAGCAATTGTAGCAAACCTTGCCGGCAGAGCTCAAGGGGCCACCGTTGGGAGCAGTGCAGTCGCGAGAAATGTGGCCCTGAAAACCGTTAGTTAGGATAATTGGGAGGGATAGGAGGTTGGCGATTGGAAGCCATACCAGCTTGCCGCAGGCATAGCACTTCATGGCCTGAGCCTGGCAATCACGAGCAAAGTGGTTGGGGCCACCGCACTTGTAGCAGGTGGCAGGACGAGAATATCCGCCACGGAAGCCGGGGTTGAAGGCACCCCGGGGGCCAGCAGGGGCCCGAGGAGCACCCGTAGCAGGAACGGGACATTTGCGCTAGGAGATGATCAATGAGTTTACTTTTAGAACGATTGTGTTCGGGTGGACCGTCGACATACAGCGAGATGGCCGGCCTGGCCGCAGTTGTAGCAGCGGCCGGTGGCACCGTTAACGCGAAGCGAAGGGCAATCAGCCTGAACGTGGCCTACCCCCTGGCAGTTGTAGCACTGCTTGGCTAAAAGACCGTATATCAGAATCCTCATCGTAAAGAACGAGATATCTTGAGGCTGTCTTACTCTCGGTGGTACGGGGAAGCGGGCAGCTGCTGGACTCATGTCCTGTAGGCGGGTTAGATATGTTCTGGGTGCGCATGTGACATGCATCGCATGAGACGTACCGGGCTGCTTGCCTGTTATATGAGAGGGTGATTAGCGATTGAATACAGCGGCTTGAATTAGGTCATTAGATTCCACCCACAGTTGTAGCAGAGACGCTCAGACGAAGAGCAGACCTCTACACCAGTCAATTAGCGATTTTTGGCCTGGGCTACAGGCGTTTTTTGAACTATCAACTAACCAGCAAAGTGGCCAAGGTTGCCACACTTGTAGCAGGCTCGGCGATACAACAACATTGCTGAAGAATGGAACGAGCCTATGTGTGATTATAGTCATCGCCGTCAGCGGTTCTGAATTCAATAAAGTGTGCTTGCAGTATTTGTTGTCGAGCTGGGCGCCGGTGGTCGCATTGGAAAGATTTGGATGCCATGCAACTTCCCCCCCGAAGACTTGGGCAACAACAGTGGAAGTTATCAGAGATCCGCCACATTGCTGCATATGACTCGCATGCAATTGTTCCTCTCAAGCGCATCGTGGAGGATTGAATGTAGGCAGGTCGTGGACGGGAGCAAAAATCGGGGACAGCGGCGAAAGAAACTTGCAAGAATCGTCGCGCAATGCGGCCACCGGGAATGCAGCACGATGGGGGAGACGTAGGAGAGCACTCACTCTTTCCTAGATTATGAACAAAAGAAGACCAGTGAGACACCCTTCCAATCTTTGGCAGAAGGCCTGATAGAGTCGTTAGCTCGAGAAGCTTGGAGGAATCAACACTTTTGACAGCCTGCTCCTTGACAGAGTGGGCTGACATAAGACCAAGCAGGTGAAAAATCGTAACGGAACGGAAATTTGGAACAGTAACACTAACCGAGCATGAGATGCGCTGGATGAGATGATAGACTAGGAGACTAGGAAGAGATATGATAGAACATCCTGTTCAATTCAAGTAATCTAGAATTAATAATATACAAGCCTGAAGGCAGAGATATGAGTACAAGGTAGAAAAATAACGGAATTTCAGAGTACCAGTCAGAGTCCAAGCGATTGAGTTAAGTAAGCAAGGAAACAGAAAGAGACCGATTTTGTGATGTATGGTTACAGTGTTACGAACAGTAATTTATATATCTGAAGACTGTAGGTTCCAGTGCCAGTCCCAGATCAAGTTAGCTCCCGGGCTTTTCCGTAAGTTATCAGTGCAAGGTTTTGGCCGAAAGGTTGGATCCTCCCCGGATTAGCACCGGTGGAAGGGCCGAAGGGGGCAATGCCAGGTCCGCCAGTACAATTGTATCGTGCTTATGTATTGAGGGTGTATTCAGTACAGTAATTGTCATTGTGTTACCCTCATCCCGGCAATTGGTCAATTCTTGGTCGATGCATCTACTCCGTACAGCCAGACGGACTGGGCGACGCAGTGCCCTTAAAGCTCCCCAGCGGCTGAAGCTGTAAGGTCCCATTTCATGAGCTGATATACTAGAAGTGGTGTATCTAACCACTGGATCCCAGAGATAGAGCTATTCAATCAAGGCTTGTGGGTGGCAAACCATGCCCCCAGCTGCGCAGCGTTCCGTGGTTCTTTTCTGTATTATTGATCTGCCATGTGCATATAGCAGCACACTATCACACTTTGTAAACGCACAAGCATGCTCCTCAACTTCGATATCCTCCCAAGTTTTGCCGCAGTTAAGCTGCAGTATCAATGCTTGAATATGTCCATACATGCACTTTAATCCATCCCAGCTGGTCGATGCTTATGATAATTTTCGTGGGCAAGTTCACTCCTCCTTCTCAATGACCGCCGGGGCCTTGATCTCACGGCCTTTGAGGAATTCCAGCCCCTCACCGCCCTAATAACCAGTTGTCTTAGTCTCCATTGTGTCATGGCGCGGAATGCGTACCAGAGGGGGTGTACTTACGTAGCTGATCAGTGGTGAGACTTCAACACCAACGGCTTCACCCTCAGTGACGACAACACCACCAGCCTTCTCAATCCAACGCTGTCCCTGGTTCATGATGTCCGCCTTGCTGGTGTCAGGGTCGTCTTCGCCAGTGCCCCGAGCGTTCTTCAGTGGCGAGAATTCGTCCTCCCGGCGCACTTCGATGCATGCAAACTTCTCCAGTGGCGTCATGGGGAAGACGTCGAAGACAAACTGCTCGAGCTTGACGCCGTTGGGCTTTTCCGGCTTGAAGAACTCGCCAGTCTCGGTGTTGATGCAGGGAATCTTCTTGCGGGCCACGTGGTGAGGCAGCTTGTGGCTCCATGTCTCAATCGATTCAAAGAAACGGAACGAGTAGTAGTGGTTGACAATGTTCGCCGCACGGAACTTGAGCACGTCGGGTTGCTTAGGGTCTTTGGCCTCAGCTGTCTCCTTATCGATCTCGGAGTACTCCACGACGTCGGGCTTGCCATTCTTCTGGAGAATCAAGCCCACGGACTCAGTAGCATTGCGCTTCCGGACTACCTTGGTAGCTATATCAACGTTCTTCGAGGCGGCGAACCCGATGAAAACGGGGTCAGCAACCTTGACGAGGCAGTTATCGACACAGTATGTGTGAATGTGCTCGATTCCACGCTTGCGCATATCCTCTCTGACGCCGGAGGTGATAAGGGCCAGATAAATACCACCGTTGCCGTCGGGAGCCACGGCTGCCTATATAAGAGTGGTCAGAACCCAAGATCCCTAGCGGTCGAAAACAATCCAACTCAACGTACCTTGGATTTGCTCTCCATCAGGATCTTGCCCTCGTTGGAGATACAAGGCAAGACGCCCTGCTCAAAAATGACCACATTGCTCTTGTCCAACCCGAAGTAGTTGTGCTTGCGGAAGAATTCCTCAGTTGGTTTGCGAGTAGGACCACTGGTCATCACATACCATGGGATGGCAGCGTCCTTCCCGGTAACCTTCTTGGCCAAAAGCTGCAACTTGACGATGCGCTCCGCCTGAATCTGGAAGAGAGACTTGTGGCTCGGAAGGCCGATGTCGAAGCAGCCCTTAGGATCGGAGCTACCCAGGCGCGTTCCCTGCCCACCAGCCATCAGGACCACAGCCACCTTGTTGTCCGCAGTCAACTGAAGTCCTTCCTTATACCATCTCTGGATGTCGCTAGGGTCCGAATCCAGGATAGAGGCAGTAGCCACGTCAGGGAGGGGTTCCAGGGAGGCAGGACCTTCCTGGGCCTTTGGAGGGTTCAAGGCCTTGTCGGCCAACTCATTGATCCGGTTGGGGTCGAAATTGCTCAGTTGGTGAAAAAGCTGGGTCTTCTCCGCGGACTTCAATTCGTCGACGAAGGCGAAAACGTGACCTTGTTTGGCATCAATATACTTCTGTCTGAGCTGCTGGAATTCTTCGGGCGATGGCTCCCGAAGAGCGTTCTCGGGCTGGCTGTGGAAAAGGTTGGAGACGGTCTCCTTGATGGCGGCGGCAGCCATGATGAACAGCGATACTTCAAGAAGGAAATCAAAGGGTATCAGAGGCAAGGATAGACTGACGGGAGGAGGTATAGAAAAGAGCGAAGAACTGGGGGAGAGCAAGAATGAAGGAAGAGGAAAAGGAGGAAGATGGAGGGGGGACGAAGGAGAGGAAGCTGTTATGAGCGCGGGGTGAACTGGGAAGAGGAGGGATTGGAGGGGGAGGGGGAGGGGAAGATCGGCTCTTAAGAAAAACAACCTACGTAACTGAGTACAACAACCAAACCAACAGACTGGGATGAAACCAGCAAAAATCATGACTTAGTTGTTATTATTATTATTATTGTTATTAACCACTATTAATTTTATTATTAGTACTACTTCGACTACGGAGGTATGTACCATGATTGATTGATTGATTGTTGCCCCCAATCCTGTCACTGACCGCCAGAAAGACCCCTGGTTTCAGGGGATCGATCATTCTTAGTACAGTACAATTAATTATTTTTAGACTCAACTATGGGTTGGAGTCTTGGAGAGTCAGGAAAACGGAAGATGCAAGGCCTCAAGCGGAGGGAGGAGGGGCCAAGCTGGACAACACAGCCAATCTGCGGTAGGAGGCGGGGCATACCATCGTATAATATTGCGTGGAGCCAGCCCAGTCTGACCTACGGTCTCACCTCCAAGGCTACTTACTTCAAGGTTCACTAAATCGACAACCGCATCTATGTTCTCTAGGATGACCAATCCAGCCAGACGAAAGGTCATATGTGATTTGAACAAGCTTGCACGTCTCCATGACAGCTCCCGAGCCTGGCTGAATGGGCGAAAGCTCGGTACTGCACAAAAGGACTTGCTTACCAGAAAGGCTTGAAGGCAGAAAGGCCGGTAGTGTACAAAATTACTGTGCATAGTAAGCTAGGTTGGTATACATCATTTCATAGCCATGAAGGTCTTTGTCTTGTCTTTCCTTGATCGCTTGGTCATCGGCGTCGGCGATCCCGATACCGATCATCGTCACGACGTTCATACCGCCGGTCGCCATACGAGTCTTTCCGTACTGGACTCCGGCTGTGCGATCGATTTCGGTAGCGACTACGGTAAGAGTCTCGCCGGGGACTTCGACTAGCTCGTCTATCACGGCGCTCGTTCCGCTGAGGACTTCGGCTGTATGACCTGTCTCGACGAGGAGGAGACGGGCGTCCAGGCTCCTTCTTGTCGAAGACCATCGAATAGTCCTCCCGGCGACGTGCATTGTTGTTGTCAGCAGCTCGGTACTGGCGTTTCTTCTCAAGTCCAGCTACACCGCCAAACCCACCCCGCTGACCACTGCGCTTGGTAATGGTTGCGTTACGCCAACTTTCCGATAGTTTTGATACCTAGTGCATCGAGTGGTCAGCAGCGCCCGGCGAAAAAGTGCGAGGTAGTACTGCTTACACTTTGCGAGAAATCAACATGGATGCGGTGGTCGTCAATTAGAACACCCTGCATCTTGAAGTAGGCCTGTTCACAGTCCTTTTGATTCTCGAATTCGATAAATGCATATTGCAGGCTGTCGCCTGTTCGCTTGTCCCGAATCACTTCACACGAGAGAATTGGGCCGAAGCGACTGAAGATTAGGTTGAGGTCCTCATCTGGAATCGTGTGTTAGTTTAGCTTGAGTTGAACAGCATAGGGCAGAGATGATGAAGAGAGTATGGGATTGTACCTTGGGTGACTGGGTTCAGCTTGCAGACGAACAATACATTCTCTGGTGGCTTTACCTCGGCAAATGGAAGGTCGCCTACCATCTCTAGGGTCAATGCCTGCGCTCTGGCCTCACGCTCCCGTCGTAGCCTTTCCAATGCCTCTTCATCCATATTGTCGTCGAGATCCTCGTCATCTGCGATCCGCACCGTAGCCAATTGCGCCTTGGATGGCACCGGGCTCTCCGCTGGCTCCACCAGTCCCGGGGGGTCATTGAAAGGATCATCGAGAATCACCGTGTGACGAATCCTGATATCCTTGAGTGGCCGCCCGCGATCATCGATGAAGGCTTCGTTTACCTTCTCTAGAACGTCGAATCCTTCCACGACCTTGCCAAAGATCACTGCCTTGCCATCTAAGTAGTCGAGACCCTCACCGAGAGTTATGAGAAACTGGCTGCCGGCAATGCGTAGATCCGGATCGTCGGGAGAAGGAACAGTCGCCATGCTCACAGTGCCTCGCTCTTCGTGTTTCAATTTAGGAGGGATTGGGAGCGAGAAGGTGCGCTGGGAGGAACCTTGCAACAAACCCCAGATCGAGGATCCGCCATCGCTCTCGGGGGAATCAGGTCCCAAGGGATCACCGGTTTGAAAGGTAAAATTCTTTTGGACGCTGTGGACGGGCGAAAAATTGTAGTACTTGACTTTGCATAGCTTCAGGAAGCTACAGCGGGAGACCATAGATAGCTTAGTTTTCGTTCAGCCACTCGACTTGTACGCGCGCAGGAGAGCATGACAAGAGTACCAATATGAAGGGATGACACAGAAAGAACTGGAAAGGGGACACATACTTCTCGCAAGCCTTTGGCGACTCGTCGACCAGCAAATCAATGACGATGTCGCCGAGAGAGGTTTCCAGCAGGACGCTCATGGCGGATCCCCGGTAGTTGCGGGTGATTTCGCGAGGATCGACGGTGCGTAAGACAAAAACAGAAAAAGAGGGTGAAAAAGAACCAAAGGGGAGAAGATGCAAGTGATCCGAATGAAGAGAAGAACCAGGAAGGCCTGGGGAGGGGGGGGGGGGGGATCAAATTGGAAGCTGCCAAAAGGACGAGCGGGAATTACTTGTAAGAGGGAGGATGATTTGAAGCAGGCCAGGCAAGGTACGAAGTTATGATGCGGAGCCGCTACTAGTACGCTGCCGCCCAGCCTATTCCTACTTGAGTCGAGCGTCGGCGGCCCACCGTCGTAGATCGCTGTCCGACTGTCTACTGTACATACTCATACATGTACGCTTCTGATGGATTGTGTACTCCGGAGTAGTCAATCAACTGTTGGAGTGGTGGAGTACAGCTACTGTATAATACTGCTGCTTCTTGGTCCTTCTTATTCTGTTCCTATAGTATTTCAAACTGCTTATATTGCTGCTGCTGCCATCACTACCACCACTACTACCACCACTATTCCACATGATTTCAATCGATCTATCATCGGACTGTTTGAGGCCTTGATTGAGTTAAATCAACCTGTTCCAGATCAACAACCACCATTCTCGGAGAAGGAACTGCCTGCCTGTTTCCAGCAGTCACAAAAAGTTCTTCACATCCTTTCCTCATTTTACCAACCCCACTCCTACAAGTCACTCGATTGACAGCGATTCGATGCCCCAGCGGTCATACAAGCCCCGAAAGAAGCATTCGCCGCTGAATCAATCATCTTCGACAGTTTCGAGGTGTTCTTGCTATCGGATGGTTGTTCCGGCGCCCCTCTCGTGTAACCGCCGTTACTTTGGGACTGGAGCCGGATATCTTCCGGGAAACCCCGTTGGACGAACAACTTAGGGGTACAAGATAGTGCTTGCGCTAGGCCTGGACCGAGATTCAGCTGGCAATTGTGTGTTGTTTTATTTCTTGCCTGCGATCTGGTCGCTCGAACCTGTCGGCAACTTATCCTTTGCTCAGCTCATTAAGTACAGTACAACGAGTATTGTTCCCGGCGCCGATGTGCCGCCGGTCTCATCCAACTCCCAGGACAGAGTGGTCTGTCTGCCTTGGGGCCTTGGAGGTATTTCGTTCACTTTCAGGCCTCGCCTTGGAGATGACTTCAGCTTGAAGCTCCCAACCTACCTTAAAACCCAGAGATACCGTCTGAAACCCATGGTGAAAGCCTTCCCACACTTATTTGGTTCTACTTCTTGTAGTTTCACTACAGGGGCGTTGAAAATAACGGGCGGTCTCCTGCAGCTAGGTCCAACAGCAGTTCAATAACCCACCCCATCAGCACTTTTGCAGATATGACAAAGCTGATTCGATGGGGAAACACACGTGGTGCTCACTAGAATGGATGGTATCTCGTTATCTCTAGAATGATCATCATATTGATGATTCCCCGTAACGCCTGGAACTATCGAGACCCCAGCATGGGTTCAATGAGTTTCACTGGGTCTTGGTATCTTGTGGCTGGTCCTATTGCCAATGACAGCTTTCTGGTCCAATCACTGACTGATAATGGTCCTAAATTGAACGGAAGACATTCGGGTCATGACGCCCTTCCTCGATCTTTGGGACTTTTAGAAGGGCAATCTGCTCTCCTCCCTCTTAGGACCGCTGCTTCTTATTTACTTTTTCCTTGTCTCCTTTCTCCTGTGCCTCCCATTGTCGCCGCGTCCCATCCTACGGGCGGAAACCGCAGGGAACCTATAGTCGACTCATCTCGAGCTTCATCTGACAATTGATCGACGTCCCATGTTCGATCTCGATATTGGTTGAAAAGGGACGACACTAGTACCTTAGCTCAACCACCTCCTTTCCACATGTTGCCTGCACCAAAGCTCCCGCAATGGCTGCGAATGGATTGGTTTCGATCTGGACCAATCGTTCTGTGAAAGTCCTGCAGGTTTGAGCACAAGCAGATGTCGACAAGGCCCTGTCAGTCAGTGACAATGTGCACCGGGCTCGTGCCCCTGACCTTCCTGCATACTTAGTCGATCTTTTCTTCTTTGCCCCACAGTTCAGTCAACCCTCGTCGAGTTGCGAGAGTTGGTCACCTTCATCTTATTCGTTCTCAGACTGTATTCTTTTTTCTCTCTCCATTTTTTGAGGCTTTCTTGATCGCCTACGGCCAGATTTTGTTGTTCTGGTAGACTTGACGCTTTCCCAGCCCTCTAACAAGAGAGACCCAGGGAGCCTTAAGCCTTGCACGATACGTAGACCCGGATCCAGACCTAGGCTGGCGATCTTTGCTTGACGCTACTAATGCTAGTCAACCACTCCATATTGCCATGCCAGGGCTCCGCTCACTTATTCGGGCTTGGCGGTTGAGCCACATTGGCGCGTTGCTGGAACACAGCCGATCTTAGGACTCAGTCTTTGCTCTGAACTCTCATCCTAAGGCATAGCAGCCAAGCTTTCCGAGACATCGGTGTAATATCCGCAGATCATGCGGTCCGTTTGCATCGTGCTCTGGATCATTCGAGTTCTTCTTTTTATTCTTGGCCCCGGAATTCTATCTCTCTTTGCCGAAGCTGCTCGTGGACCTGATCGCTGCCGATCCGACCTAAGCTGAGAGAAGTTAACTATACGATGTCAAAAGTACCAGTCAAGACCAGACCGCCAAGAGGAGTTTGTTTGATGCTTGAAAATAGCAGGCGTCAGGCCAATGAGCTTTGCATATCAACCATTGTTCAAGCAGAGAGCAAACATCCACACGTTCGTTGCTTCCGCGTCCGGTCAATAGCTTGGTATTCGCGCTGGAGGCGCTCATGCAAACGTAGGCGGTGGCTGTCCGCTCATCGAGGCTGTCCTGGCCGGTCGCTTCTGACGCAGGGCCCTATCGCTGGCTACAAAATATCATCATTCAAAGACCTGGACCAGTGGTGGAAGCAGCACATGTGGAGTTCACGTTGGCATCTATTTGCTGAGACCAACCCTGGAGATCTCAGTCTGCCCAGCTGGAGTGATAGGCTTGACTGTGGTTTTCTATCAGGCCATTTCTACAACTGGTGCAACGTTACCCTGACTTTGTGACACTGAGGTCCCTACAACGCCGGGATATTTTGTCTCTCTGTTCTTCTATCATTGTGTCATGGAGACCAGACCTGAATCTCTGGACACATCATTACTGTTTTCCTTTGTTCTTTGTTTTTCTTCTTTTTTCAATGTTCTTTTTTGCCCTCTTTAATTCTTTGCCTGAATGAGATGCAGCACGGTTGTTTGCATGGTGCTCTCATTTGTACGCCCAGCAGTCAGAAGAAACAGCTATCAAACTGACCACACTCTCTCGAATGAGAAAGCGACCTAATTCCCTTTCTAGGTCTAGGGGCTTCGGTAGGGGAAGACTTTGTTCTCTCTGAAAACTGCCTGCCAGCAGTCGATTTCTTTTCTCGAAATGATGAAATAAGACATCAGGGGAAAGAAAAAAGAAAGAAAGGAAAAAAAAAAAAACAAGGTGAAGGCCCAGGCTTTCTTTCAGGATCCATACACACCACTAACAAATGGACTTAAAACTGGCCTTGCTTCCGGCTACAGCCCTCTCACCCTTCCTGGTTCCTTTTTCAATACTTAGGGGATGGACCGAATATCTTGATTGCAACAATCCCTGATCTATAGACCTTTTTATGCTCCTTGGTAACCTTCTGAGAAGCTTTTTTTCCTTCCGTAAACTTGTCTCGAATACATGTGAGTCTCGGATTCGGGAAACACCATGTTTTCGCCCACGCTGACGGATGAAGTAATGGCTCACTCTATATACCCCCGGGAGGAGGAGGTTGGCTTTGATTCACAATCTAAGCGAGATGCTCTACCGATACCCACGCGCACCAGTCGAGGCGATAGCTATCAGGACATGGTGGACAGAGCTGGGTGTCAGAGTCCCAGTCCCGAGATCGACAGCAAGAGTCGAAACTCGACACGCCGCCGAATTCAGGTAGCGGTAAGTTTGGCTCCCCTTGTTCTTCCTCTTCTTGTCTCAGCTTCCTCCAAAACTGTCGAAGGAGAAGGTCATGACTTACGAGTTGTCAGTGTAATCGTTGCCGAAAAAGAAAAATCAAATGCAGCGGCGACAACGGTGATGGGCAGGGCTGCTCCAACTGTCGCAGCTCTGGAAATGCCAATTGTCAGTTCTTGAGGGTGAGTCCAGAGAGCGTTTACACTCTTGGGGGCAATAGTCAAAGCTTACTTTCAACGCAGGTTAATTCTTCAATGGTGCAGGCGAGAGTGAGCTGGCCATATCCAGTGATGAATGCTACGATGTCCCCTTCTCACCGACATGGGTCGTATGTGCAGTCAATGCCACCAAAGACGATCGCTACTACGTCAGGGAGCCCTTCGACTATGCGCGTAAAGCCTTTCGAGCGGGCACCCGGCTATGGCTGTGGGTCAGCTGAGTCGCAGCTGCCCGCTGGTCGACAGTCGTTTGGGTGCGTTGACCACGCCGCTCACTACGAGGAGGAACCCAGGATGTACAGCCCACAGACTTCGGGGTACATGGTCTCTGGGGTACCGCAGAGCGTCATGGCGGAGTATTGTGGGCTCACATTGAGTCCCAGAGCGTGGAGTCCTAACGTGTACTTTGGCCGGAGCCCTAGCCCAGGCATGTTCGCAGAACACGAGGGCGGGAGTTCCTTGTCTCAACCTCTATATCCCTACATGTTCTCGGGACCTCCAAGTCAAATCACCGATGGCCCTCCGATTGTGCCAACCATGAGCTCTACCTCCGTCGAGGGCCAAGGGGTGGATCGGACGCTTCCTGACCCCACGAGTCGAAGTCAGGTTTCACAGTGTCCTGCTGAATTTACACTCACGCCCGAAGTTCTTACGCTCCCCGAGACCGTGGATCATCGAGCCGGGGTAGGTTGGAATTACAAAAGCGCCACCGCCTCTAACAATGATGTTCTTTCCTCAGTTCAACGGTTTCCGAACGAAGCCCTAGGAGGCAGTCCCATCTCTCGGACGAGGACGAGCGCGCAAGACATGGTCTTTGGAACTCCTTTGCTCACGACCATTGGTGCACCTCCTATTTTGAACTCCTCTGCCGGGCCACTTGCTGGCTTGGAGACGGCCACTGCGAGCGAAGATTTTCGGGGAAGTAGGGATGGTGGTCAAGCCACGAGAACGCTCGCGCAGAATCATCTTTCCGACGCCGGCTCTGACATCTACGTATACAGCAGCAGCGAAAGGAGGGACAAGCACTCTTACAAGACGGATGGGTCAGCATCAGTGCTGATGAACGGGCTACCCTACACGCGCCCCGGGCCGGGGCTCTATGGGCCACCGATGACTACCACGCCAGTCTGCCGCCCTGCTACAGTGATCTATGCACCGCCGATACCACCGCTACATCATCCCAGCGATTTCTAACCCTTCGGAAAAGGGGGCCAATGTGGCAGGCAAGCGCAAGTGCGCTGGGAAATATGAATGAGCGGTAACCGACAGCAAGACTGTTGGTACGTGACACAAGAGCTGAAACAAACGTGATCGGCTCGACTCAACAAATATTGGGGTTGCCCCAGTCCCTGTTCATTTGAGGATGGAGGGGGACGTGTCATCTCCCCCCCCCCTGATTAATTCTAGACATGGAAAGGTAAAATTAATACTGAGCATTGGTGGCAGTTCCCCCCATGGTAATTTCAGCACTCGCAGACAATGCGCTGGCTCTTTGTTACATTATTTTCTCCCTAGAGCGAAAGAAGAAACCCAAAAATGGAAGGGGAAAAAAAGGCATCTTACACTAATACTAGGGATTGTGTTGGATTTGTGATTCCCAGGACTTGCTCGGTGTTGTTGTTTTGTGTTTTGTTTTTTATTGCCAGTAATTGGCACGACTGGGGAGGTTCATCCGTTTTATCTTATGGCTGATTGTCTTTGCTTCGCTTTGTTTTGTTTTGTTTTTCTTTTTCTTGGTTTCAGGGTGGCTACTATCTTGTCTCCTGTAGATGTTGATCTCGCTCAGTTGGGACTTGGTTATTGTAACGCGTTTTTGTTGTTGTTGCTTATATTTCCGAGGACTTGTCCATGCTACCCAGAGAGAGTGTGAGTGAGTGAGTGAGTGGTAATATATCTGATAGTTGGCAGCCTGACTGGGGGTTACACTGCTGGTACTAACATACTGTTGGTGACCCCTACAGCCTTAATATGATATTGTATATACCTACAGAGGGGGAAATCCATGGCCATAACCATATCCAACCATAAACTCTCTCCCAGCTCCCCAGCTCCCCTTCTTCCTTCTCCGTTCTTCTCCTCGGACCCATCCCGAAAAACAAGGAAAAAAATAAGAAACCACCACCCATTGGAGAAAAAATCCTTCCCATCATCTCCAAGTGATCTAAACCCCGACCTCCCGGATCTCATCCCGCAAGCAAAGCAAGTCACCTAAGGCCCGTGCTTTAACTTTCCAACGGTGCGACTTCTCTTTCTCTTGCCTTGTGCACCCGGAGGATCTCAGACATGGGGCTAGAAGGACTTAACGGAAGTAAGCAAGTAAAGTAAGTAAGTAAGCTGGAAAGAACACGATTCTGTAACCTCGCTCCAGCTCGGACCTCTCATACCCTCGTCCAGGGTCTGTCTGTCTGTCTCTCTTTTGTCTGTTCTATTGGTTTCTTGGCCTTACCCAACTCCTCCCCCCTCCCCCTCCCACCATTCCCCTTCTCCTGGAATGTAAGCTAGCCTCAATTGAAGAGAAGCATAGGGGTGATTGTGGGTGATTGAAGCTACCGGGAAAAGAGAAAATCTCTCTCTCCGGGGCCCTGGGGCCCGAGGACCTGGGGACCCGGGGTGATACTGTACTACTTACTGTCGAGAGGAAAGAAAGCTATGTACGGTACATACTCGTTCGCCAGCGGACAAAGACGGAGTGGGGGGGAGAAAGAGTCCTGGGAAATGAGGCTCATTAATATTAAGGTCCCTAATTTGGAGAAGTCGCCCAGGGTTAGAGTGAAACGACGCCGGGTTGGCTGGAAAGTGAAGCAAAGACAAGGAAGGCAAGACAAAGTCATGGGCTATGATGCCTATAGGGGTCTGCGGGCTGGATCAGATCAAATCAACCGGTCCGATAAGGATGCGATAAGAACTTTTATGGGGTAGTTGAGGTAGTTAAGGTTACATGGAAGGCATGAACTGATAAGAATCTCGAAGTGAGTGTCAAGAAAGAGGCAGCAAAAAGGATATCTGGGGTGATGATGCACGAGCTAAGTAAAAGAAAAATAAAAAAAGTATCCATTTTATCTCCTTTTTTTGGGTATTGTAAAAGAAATCACACCCATGTTTTGATTTTTCCTCCCCCCCCGGCATACAGAATAAGCCCAAACGGTCTCCAAGTTTGATTTGATTTTTTGAAGTTCCCTGTCATCGAATTCATGGTTTCATATTTGTAGATATGAAGATTTGGCGGTGGCCACCCATGAGAAATAAAAAAAATTGTAAAACGCCCTCCACACACAACCAGTTCGTTCATATCCACCAAGGGTTCGTTGGCTCAAAGAAGATCGTGGAAATATTCCGGCAAAGAGTGAAATACCCCAGATCCTCCCAGTCATCAAGCTCAGCCCGTGACCGCCACGCCGTCTGCCTGGAACCGATAAATCCATCCGACTCCGAGTCCCTAGGGCGAAGACGCGAGGCCAGCGAGCCACTCTATTTGTTTCCCCCTTCCATATTTTCACCAATAAACGTAAACGCAGAGAACTCTCAACCGAATCGAGCCGCTTAGTTCTTGTTCTTCTTGGGGCCCTTGACCTTCTCGGTACCGCGGAACTTCTTGGAGCGGTTCTTCCGTTGCTTGCCTGGAGGGGATGTGAGTATAAACGAAAAGAGACGCAAGGCGAATCGAGAGACACAAGGGAAGACGTACGCTGCTGTCTGCTGGGCTTCTCGATCTTGGTGGCAGCACCGATGCGAACCAGACGGTAGTGGGGCTCGAACTTCTTCAGGGCCTCCTGGGAGTCGTAGACGAGAGCGAAACCAGTGCTCTTACCGCCACCGTACTGGGTACGGAAACCGAAGACGGAGACCTGGTCCTTGTTGGCCTTGTACAGGTCGGCGAGCTTGTCGCGGAGCTCGTCCTTGGAGACGTTGGCGCGGTTGGGGTGGAGGACATCCCTGTGTGCAGAATATCAGCGTCTGCCGTTATCATGCAAAAATTCTTTGTCGTATTGCCCGGAGGTGCTCTCGGATGAATTCCCAGTCGATGGTTTGCCTTGTCTTTCTTTGCCCTCCACGCACATATACACACAGAATGTGATATTGCCCCCGGAGCATGATTTTTTGGTGTTCAAAAAATCTTCCCCATCAAATTGTCGTAACATTCCCTTGTGTTTTCCATCCGGTCGACCTTGGAATCGTCATGTCGTATTTGTTGCCCATCTCTTTCCCCATCTCTTTCTTGTTCTTGTATCCTTCCTCCGAGCATCCCTCCGGGCAATAGCATTCGGGGAAGGCTTCTTACACGACCATCTGCTTGCGAGCAAGCAGGGGGTTGCGGATGAACTTGCGAGTCCGCAGGGTAACGGGAGCGTCGGCCATGGTTGGAAGTTGACAGCGAAGGAATCTGCGTGCGACAGGAAGCAAAAGGAGGGCAGATTAAGGAGGGCGCGGGTTTGTCGAAGTCGCTGTCAAGTCGGGTCGGGGCTTCGAAATGCGGCGTTCGATTCAATTTTGGTCTCGTTGTGCACAAGTTGGCTGTGGGCTCGGCTAGACGACCCTAGTCCCAGTCCGGTTAGTTCCATTGCCCTGCTCAATTATCCCTCATCGGGTCTAGCGCCACCGTGTCTGATAAGGGGATGCTGACTCAGCGTCCGTTCCTTATCAACACCGTATTTTCTACTTTACAATCAATCTACTAGAGCAAGTCTCCATCATCCCACTTGAACCTCATTCTCACCATGTCCTCCCCCTCCCCCCTCCTCCCCCTCCCCCCTCGACCGTCTCGTATCCCAATACTACCAACAAGTCGAACTTCCCTTCCTTTCTCTTCCCGACAACGCCACTCTCCTCACTCCGACCACCCAACATGCTCTCTACAACCGCATGTTCAACGATTCCGACCCCGCCCTATGGCCGCTGCCCCCCGTGCATTATCGCATGCGTGTGCTCAAATTGATCATCGCCCGCCTTGAACAATCACTTACCAATCCGGAGGAGGATGTATGAACCCTGTATGATATGATCTGTTCAGTCCAAACCATCACCGAACAATTCATTCCTCCCCTCCCTTCCCTTCCCCGCTCGTTCCACACCCCCCTCCCACCAAACTCGGATCAAATAAACTGACCCACCAATTCCTCATTCCTCCCTCTTCAGGAAATCATCGACGACCTCCTCGAAACATGGGGCACCTTACTCACGCACCCCAAACCCTCCGCCATCCAACAAGCCCAACAACTCACCTACATCAAATACACCGCCCCGCCCCCGCCGCCCCCGCATCCAACCACCAGTCCCCAAACAGCCGAACCACCAGTGCAACAACCCCAATTCGCGCAACGAACCACCATCACCTCCGAATCCCGCGGCCTGATCCTTTCCGCGGGCACCACCGGGTTCCGCACGTGGGAAGCCGCCCTCCACCTGGGGACCTACCTCGCGACGAACCCCAGCGCCGCCCACGCCTGGATCGCCGGAAAACGGGTGATCGAGCTCGGCGCGGGCACGGGATTTCTGGGGTTGTTCTGCGCGCAACACCTTCAGCCCCGGTCCGTGGTTGTGACCGATCGCGAGATCGCCTTGATCGAGCAGATCCAGGATTGTGCGGGGCGGAATAAGCTGCTAAGCGATGGGGACGGCCACAATAACGACACCCCGGGTAAACGGTTCGCGGCGGGGATCTGGGAGTGGGGGACTCCATTGGATATTCCCGGGTTGGGTAATGGTAGTGGTGGTTCCTCGGGAGTGGGAGATGGCGCATTGGGTGAAGCGAAGGACCTTAAATTCGATGTCGCGTTAGGGGCGGATTTGGTATGCCCTTTTTGTCCGCTTGGGGTGTTTCTTCCAGAGGATTCACCATCGCTAGCCACCTCGGAACTCAACTGACCTACGGAAATCTCTTACCTAGATCTACGATGTTGACCTTGTTCCCCTCCTTGTCGCGACCATCCAGGACCTCTTCACCAACTATGGTCTGCAGCAATTCATCATCTCCGCCACTTTACGAAACGAGGATACTTTCCGGACGTTTCTGAGAGCTTGTGGTGCGTGGAATTTCCTTTGTCTCCCCCCGCTTTCCGTAGTGCACTCACTTGACGCGCTCCTCTGTCCAGTATCAACGACTGATCCTCTCGCAGAAGCTCAAGATTTCACTGTCGAGCAGATCCCCTTCACATCACCTCCCGAGGCAGAGCAGAAGGGCTTCTATCATTCCACGGCTATTCCAATCCATATATATCGGATCACAAGACCGACAATCTAACTTTTCGGTGAACGAGAAGAGGAATTGACGTCGAGTCCACAGGAATCAAATATATCACTACCAGCTCGCTTACCGATCTACCCGCTTACTTCGACGTTCGACCTCTTTCTCTACTTAAAGTAAATCAACCATGGTCTCATATTGTTGATAGTAATCTGTCTTCAAAGATAAAATCTCGGCTTGAGAGTGTGATCTGCAAATAATAGCTGTTTCTATAAAAAGCCAGTGCTGTTCTGTATGTAATAAGTCTAACATCCTGGGTATCATGTCTATCAAATCAGATAAAGAAACGCGCTCGAGCGATGGACAACAGGCCGAATACTGTTTCGAGAAAGATTGAACGGCCCACAGAAAAAGAAATTGATCAGTCAGGGAACGTGCTGCTGCTCAAAGGCAACTGAGTCATGCTCAAATAGAATGAATCGAAGGAGCGAAGATGAGGTATATACGAGGCCATGTTCGTTGCTTTGGCGGGGCATTAATTACCGAGCAGGGTCACTCAGCAAGGCTCTCCCTGAGAAGTCCCTCGTCCAAGTTGTCGGCATGTAGGGATACAGGCGCACGAGACATGGGGTGAAATCCCATGATCGGTCCTTTTTGGTTGACTCCCGGGTACCGGAAGGGCAGGCTCGGAGCTGGGCTTGCTCGAGCCTTCATCGAGCTTCTGGTACTATGCCCACTGGAGAAGGGACTCACTGGGGATGAAGTGTCCTCCTCAATCGGGGACGATTGTATGGTTTCATGCCCCGAGACGGCGGCGGTGCCCCAGCGACCGCGGACCCAACCACCAACACGGCGGGGCAAAGACAGCTTCCGAGAAGGCGTAGCAGCGCTACTATCCGAGTATTCCTCTTCAGGGACGACTTGTTCAGTTGGCAGCTGTCTGTTCCCGGTCATCGATGCGAGAAGGGCCTGTGGACGCTGGTTTGGCACTAGGGCTGGCTCTCGTCCCGCCGTCACATTGCTCGTCGAAATGACTGGGGGTGTGGGGAATAGATCCATATTCGACGAAATAATGCGTCGAGGGATGCGGACAGGCATGGTGGTCGAAGGAAGGTCGTTCACATTCGTCCGCGACGGACGTCGACTCGGAGCATGAATGTCCATTCCCGCCACGGAGAATAGACTCTCGTGGGACGAGCCCCGACGCAAAGAGCGGTAGGGAGAAGAAAATATGTCTGCTATCAAAGGAGACGCCGCTCGCTCCGACTCGGCATACTGCATCGACTCTATCTCTTCTGGAATCACGGCTTCCACGACCCCTCTGTGTGGCGATTCAGCACCCAGATTACGTTGAGTGAGATACTCGTATCTCAGCTCTTCATCATTGGGATGGGTCGGATGATCTGTCGCATCCCGTCGCAAAGATGCGTCGGAGTGACCCTTTCTGCAACGGCTTGTCAATGGAGAGGAAAAGACGGTACTGTCTGGGCTAGTTGGCTGGGAGAAGTCGCAGCCGCGTTCCGCGCGGTCGAAGATCGAGGGCGGTTGGTAAGCGGACTGTGGCGAGCTGGCCACCGAGTCCGTCATTGGAGTTTGCAATGACCACCGATGAGACGCCGCTGGAGGGATAGAGACTGATGTCTGGGACAATATAGTTGATGTGGAGGAGGTAGATGACTGCGAGCGGTGATTGGGCTTGCGTGTTCCCGAGGCCGAATTAAGCACCGCCGCATTCCCCAAAGATCGTCTTTTCTTACTGCCCCGACGAAACAACGAACCCCGATCCTTTTTGGCGCCAACAGGGATAGCGGGTGGATGATAATGGTGGTGAATATGGTATTCCTGCGACACGCGACGTGACTCTTGCGCTTCCAGTTCCTGGCTCAAAGTTGTTGACGGCCGAGGTTCCTGCCCGTCGGACGCAGCTAGGGGCTGATGAGACAAAATCTGATCTCGCAGGTTTTGCACCTCCTGGTTCGAGCTTTCGAGCATGTCCCGCAGCTCCATGATTCCTATTTGTAGGTTGGCATTATCCTGTAAGATGTCGCGTACGAAGTGGGAAACCACGTTGGCGCCCGCGCGATTGCGTCCCAGCTCCTGCGCAGCAGCCGCACCTTTCAATCGACCAGCCGCGCCATCAAGTTCGCGCTCCACGCTTCGTCGGCGCTCCATCCGTTGGATCAATTCCGCATGGCGCTCTCGTTCTTCCCGGGCCTCCTTTTCAATGCGGTCAACTTGATCATGCAGGTCACGGAGAGTGCATTCCGCCTGCTTCCAGCGTTGGACGGCCGACTTGGATTCCTCCTTCGCCGACTGGAGACTCTCTTGTAGTCGACTCTGCTCCAACTCCATGCGTGCGAGCTGGGCTTCGAGATCCGCCGCGCGAGCTGCCGACATGGTCAATTTGCGCAGCTCAGTCTCGGTGTTTTCCAGTCGCGATGTCAATGATTTGGCGTGTAGGTCGGAATCGGCAACGGCCTTGTTGAGACCCTCTAATTGCTCCAGCAAGTCGCGATTCTCCTCAATGATGCGGGCGTTCTCGGCTTGAACCTCGCGCTTCTCCCGTTCGAGAGTTTCAATGCTGAGCAGGAGACGCTGGCGGTCCTGTTCCGCCTCCGCCATGTAAGATTCATGACGGTGGAGTAAAGCCTGCAGAGCAAAGGTTAGCGAGGAGGAGCCCATACTCGTGGCCGCCAATGCGGCCTTGTCTGAGGCGACAGCCATGACGAACAAAAAAGCATTGAGAGAGAATGGGAGACTTGAGACTGGAAGACATCATGAGAGAGCTGGGGAATGTTGTGACAGGCCAGGTGGTAGGCCTGCCTCAGTCGTCCGGTCTTGTCTCGTGAATCTTCAGACCTCTTGGCACTCGATACCCCAAAGGAGAACACAGTTATTCAATCCGAGATAGTCAAATTCCAAGAAAGGGACAAGCAAGATAAGCAAACGATGTAAATAACGTCCCTCCGCCAGTGAAGGGGGCCAAGGACATGAGGTGAGTAATCAGGCATGTGAGTGTACAGAGAAAGTATGTGAGAGGGATGAGAAGTATATAGGCCGACCATCGAAAGGAAGCAAGTGAGTGGGCAAAGCCATTTGACAGGCCACCAGTCAGACAGCCTCATGTCTGGCTAAGTTCTGTACGACTTCATCGTCTCCAGGCCAAGAATCAGGCAGGGCAAGGTGCATCCATAGTGACAGTGGTAAGTTTAGTGGCCGAAGGAACAGACCTCCGCTGCCAACAATGATGCCGCCTGACGTATTGGCCGAAAGGCCGAACCAACAAGAAGCCGGGGAAAAAAAACAACTCTGCAGATAAACAAACAGGCAACTCGAACGCAGAATGCACTAAACGGGAAAAGTAGGAAACATCGGAAAACGCTGCTGCCAGCAGACACGTACCTGGCCTAGTTTAGCAGCAGTTGCAAGATCCTTTTCCAGCCCCTCAAGAGCCAGATGATTATGGAGCAAGAATGCACAATCATTCCGGCCACAGCAGCATTGAAGATCCGTGGTCGAGACGTGGGCAGAGGCTGGGTGGGTGGGAATGCTGGGAAGCTGACCAGTAGTGGACGAATCCATGGCTGGGGGGAGGGGGAGGAGGAGCGGGAGCAGTTACAGCAGTTGCAGCAGACGCAGCCGTAGCAGTATCGGCGGCAGCTAAAGAATGGAGAAAGGGAGGGAGGGGTTAACAGTTGAGCTGGCACCCCTGGAACGACGTGATGAAGTGGCCCGGAGGCCCCCGAGCCTCGACACGTTTGTCCAAGCTCCGGTCGTAGATAGATGAAACAAGAATAGATCGAGATGGATACAGATCGCGCGAGAGGGTCGGTCTGTCTGTCTGTCTGTCTGTCTGTCTGTCTGTCTGTCCGTCCGTCGGTCGGTCTCTGTTTCCGTCTCACAGACTCCACTAGACCATGGTAGATTCTCTGCTTCTTGCTTAAACCTCCCCAAAACTTCGAGAAAGGTCAAGCTAGAAATTGTCAATTGATCGATTGAAGCATGAATCGGTAGCTCAGAGGAAGAAAGAAGGAATGTGGCAAGAACCAAGAGAAATGAAGGGGAATAATACCAATCATGGATGCAATCATTATAATTATGGGTGGATGATGGTCGGTGGATGGAGAAACGGAGCTGAAAGCCGTTCGAGGCGGAGACCCGTGGTGACGATTGATGATTGGCTCCGAGAGGGGCAGTTGGGCGGTGAAAATCAACCGGGTCTGTCTGAGGGAGGCGGTAACCATACGTAGTACCTAGCAAGGTATTTTGTGAATTACCTTAGTAACTTATTTACTATTAATCCATTGAAGAACTTCTTACGTGCGCTCATGGAAGGCAGCATAACGTGCTCGCAGCACGCAATTCAGTAAGCATCTTTCAAGGACGTATAAACCACAAACCATGGACTGTATGTATGTATATTATGGTACTACTAACGGAGTAGCCAAACACACGCGTACTAACCTTGACCCCATTGACGGACGGCCCCACTAGAGACTAAACTCCTGCCCCGAATGAGCAAGATAGTAGTAGTATGTACCTAGTACTTGTACCTTGTCGCCCAACCTACCAAGCAGCCCCCCTCCGCCTTGGCTGCTGCTGCATAAAAGCGCTGCTGGATTTTGGCCTGTGAAGCTGGGACAAAAAAGAGAAAAAGAGAAAAAAAAAAAAAGTCCCCATGATTTCGGCGCTCTGGGAAATCATTCATCAAAGATACCAGTCTTTCGTATGTTAGATAGGATAATCACGGCAGATTTCAGACATATCCTCATACACCTTTCGTCCCATCCTCCATCAAAGCAAGAAGTCATGGCGAACATTAATGAACGCCCCAGCGCCGCCTTCCTCGCTAATCTCATTCACCAGCACCTCCGTCTGTTGATACAGTCGCTCCAGCGCCGCCGACGATGACTTGCCGAGGGACACTGTTTCGAGTTATTAGCCACCGCGTAACCCAATGCAGCCACCCATCCCCGGTCTGCCTACCTAAAATGGCCGAGTTCAATTCTTCTGCCACGGCTATGCGGTTGGCCGGGTCTAGATAATGCCCATGCACCGACTGGCGCGCGTCCTGATAGGCCACCAAGGAGAAGATGTCTTCCAACATCTTCCGGTCCCCGCCCCGTTCATCGGGTGGATAGTCGATGAACAGCTGTTGTCCATACTGTACAGCTTCGGTTAGCAGCTCCTTTGACTTGGCTGCCGTCTCGGAGTCTTCAATCTCCATCCCCTCGACCTCCCATCCATCCCCGTCGTGCACTTGGTCATCTAATTCCATTTCCTGGTCAAACACCGCACTGTCCAACAAGCCATTCGTCGATCGTCCCCGCTTCGACGCCGTTGCTGATAGCTCACTACACCGCCGCATCATTTCCAAAAATTTGCGACATCTCAATTTGAAATGAATATGGGGGTAGGTCTGTAACACATTGGCGTAATATGCATTGGTGTACTTGAGCGCCTTGTCTATATCGCCGTCGAGGATCGCCGCTCGGATCTCTGGGAAAAAATCATGAAGTCAGTGCACTATAGATACCGCGGGTGAGCACAAGGAGAGTCATACTCTGTCGATTAACTGCTTCCACATCCTCCTCGACTTCATACTTCTGTAGCGAAGTGGGTCGGCCGTTCTCTAACGCCGTCGACTCCGCCGCCACCTCTTCGGCAAACGCGCGGGCCGTTTCCACGTAGCCATCATGGGCAAGGAATTGCGCCACTAATTCCTGGAGTAAGACATTCTCATCCAATGGCGGCTGGAGATTGGCGGTGCTGGTCAGGGCAATCTCCGAATAGACCAGAGACTTCTCTTTCTATGGTAGAAATATGTCAGCAAAGGCAAACGGCAGAAGAAGGACCGCAGGAACCAAACAATACCTTGACCATGTCATCGATGTCGAACATAAAGGGCTGCTGGCCGAAATTTGCGATGATATGCACCGGCGGTTGCTTCTTCATTCCCACCGATGGATAGACTTTGAGGTTTCGTAGTTCCCGAAACGCGTTCCCTGTGTACTACTTAGTCCTCTTTCGGTCTGTTGGGCTGCGAAGTGCCACGACCTACCTAAGAAAACGCCGTTCTTGGTGAAAAAGGCACAACCGGTTGAAAAGTTCACCCCGCATCCCACCGTATCATTTGCTCCGAAAGTTGGACCGTATTGGCGACCTTGTCCTTGGCTTTCGCCAAAGAAGGACTTGCCGTCATCCCCATGATAGGCCCAGGATTCTTGTTCCCAGCCCGGTAACCTTTCCATCGACGCTTTCTTGCTTGAGAATCCAATGCCGATCATCCTAATATTGTCAGCCGGACCCCACACAAACCCTCAGTCAGCACTTTCAATCAGCACATACCCTTCTTTAGGTTTGGATAGAACGGTGATCTCAAAGTAGTAGATCCCGCATTGCGGAGGCATGGGGTTATCCGCGCGAACGGCCGCCGCCTCATGATCATGCTTATTGACTGGGCCCGTGTACCGAACCTCGAAGCCGCCGTTCGTCAGCTCCAATCCCGAGTACTTATCCGCCGCATTCCACCCGGAGGGTAAGGGGAGTAAATGGTCATCGTCGTTGGGAGTCTCTCGTTCGACAATATCATAGGTCATGCCTCGATGGGAAGGGGTGATCCGGGGCAAGCTAGCCTGACTCGACGAGGTTGACGGGGGGATCGACGTGGCGGAGGGCACGTTGGCATCTCGATGGGCGGCGAGTTTGGCCCGACGGGCGGCCTCAAGGCGGGAGACATAGCGGGAGTTGCGGAGATAAGAGGGGGTGAAGGAGGGAACGGTGTCGGTAAAGCTGCCCGGCTGGTGGGCGAAAGGATCGTGAAGAGGAAAGCTGGCGTATTTACGGGAGTGAGGAGGCAGAGTCTCACCGGGAGACGACCGCCAGGGCGAGTTCATGATATCAGCATCCACGGCGGCGGATAGCCTGGACAGGCGGCTGTCGGCGGCGGTCAAAGGCGGGGGTGGATATGCGAGGTTCAGATGAGAAAACGAGGAGCTGCTGATGGAGGAGAGAGCGGCAGTACCGGACAGAACGGATGCGTAGGACGAACGACGTGGGATAGAGGAAATACTCGGAGGATGAGTGTATGCGATGGTGGTGGTGGTGGTTGTAGTAGTAACGTTAGTAGTTGTAGTAGTCGAGAGAGGAGGAGCTCGAGGAGCTCCACCGGAAGGGGGAAACGATGCGTCCGTCATTATTCCTGTTCAGTAACTACTAGTTAATTTAGTGGTGGGTGGGGGGTGGGAAGGAAACACCAAAAGCCCCCAACTGGTCAATACACGTCCATACTGTAATCTTGTATACATAAAGTCAAAAGCATTGACTGACTCGGGTTTCAGAGTCACTCACAGAAGTATGTCCCGCACGTTGCTCCATTCGCTGACTCCACAATGTGCTCTCTATGTTCTCTGTGTAAATTCGACCTTGCCTTCTTTTTTCCCTCGTGTTCTTTTGTTCTATAATTTCTATTCTTGTTCGTCCGGCGGTCCACCTGATCGGACTGAAGGTTGTCCGTAACCGGCGGATTGTGGAGAATTACCACCCGTAGACTGAGTTGGAGAAGTTCGACGTACAGATTGAGAGCACAAAATACTCGGTGGGTTTCAAGGCAACCGAGTATGGACAAATGAAGGATCCTCGCTTGCTCACACCTGATCAGGGCCAAAGTTCAGCTGAGCTAGACCGCGATAAGAGTTTGTCAACATAGCCCGTACAGGAAAGAAATTGGTAGAGAGGAAGAAGAGGATGAAGGGGGAATCCGAAAATCAGGGGAAAAGCGGTCATGTCGAAGCTCGCGTGACGAGAGAGACGGAGACTGAAGGACCGAGAGAGAAGGAGGGAGGGAGGGAGGGGAAGGGAACACATTCGAAGTATGACAGGGGATGATGGCCTGACCAAGACACACATACTGCGGGGAAACAGAAGTGCAATCCCGGGGCAGCATGTCAATGACATCTGACAGGAACCAGCCAAATGGAAGGCAAGAAAGGAAAAGAATGCTTTGCCCTTGCATGCCTAATGACTGGATGTTGCGAGATTGCGAGATGATGCAGACTGTGTGTGTATCACCAGCCCGAGGGGAAGTACAGTACTTGTTCATCTACATATAGTTGCCATTATAGTAGTCACTTCCCAAAACGTGATGCCATCGCACCCTCTTCGCATCTGTCCCCTCCCACACTAACAGCTGGCATCTGAATACCAATCACAACTGGCCCAATGTATACCTTTACAGAATCACTACTCGGTAAAACAATTAATGCCGATGGATAGCCAAGCCGATTTTCATTCACGAGATGATGTCCATGACAAACAGAGAAACCCAGCCGATAGATCATCCTGATCACCCAGAGTGATTAACTAGTATCCATATACCGTGCAAATGTACATGCTTCCAACTGCTGCAATAAGTAGCACATCCATGCCCTGCACAGGCAATCGTTCCCGTACCCGATAATTCTAGTGTTACATAACAAAGAAGGAAAGAAAGAGCAAGAAACCGAGGAAACATTTAATCAGAAGAATCACTCGAGGCAGTGATAAATAACCATCATGTGTAGCAGTTCACCGAGGTGAGGACCTGACCGAGATTGTTCCTTCCAACGCCAACCCAGCAACAAAGGCAGCAAACAAAAAAGAGGTAGTACCGAATAACGGTCACGTACCCATCAAAAGCGATGGGGGCTGAATCGGTATATGGGAGTCAACGTGAAAGAGAAAGGAACAAAGGTAAATATTATACAAGAAAGAAAAAAAAATTAAGTAGGTGTGAGAATGCGATATGAGGCGACTAGGCAATCATAGCAATGGCAGGAGCCGGCGAGGAGGCGTCAGGGATATTCGAAGGCAATGGGGTGATATCTCCATCACCCATGTTGCTCTTTTCGCTGGGCACGCCGCTGGCACTTTGGTTGGCCTTGCTGTCACTGTCGCCCGTTTCGAGTGCCATCTCTTTGGCCTCGCCATTCTCCTCGGGCTTGGGGGGTTTGGGAGCGCGCCAGGTTGGCAGAGCCCATTGGATGCCTGTGAAGCTTTTCAGCTGCAAGGGCTTGCGCTCCCATTTCCGACACGGAGCACCGGTACGGTCCAGCGCCCGTAGACCGGCATTGATTGCGCCGAGGTTGGCCTTGGGGCCGAGCTTATGATTGGCAGCCAACTTGGCATGGTCGACAGTCCCGTCGTCACTGTACGGCCAGCAGTGTTAGTGAGACATGCACATTGAGAGAATAGGAGCAACAATACATACAATCTAGGCTTCTTCTTAGGACCGGGCTTGCCTCTCGGCCTCGGGTAAGTCTCACCCGTTTGGCCTAGGCCCCGTTTGCTCCCCGGCTTAGGGCCCGGCACGCCCTTGCGACGGGGAGTGTCGGCAGCGGAGGTGCCCGCAGCGGGCGTAGATGCTGCATCGGAGGCATTGTCCACGGAGGAGGGCGGGGGCGGTAGTTCCGCCGATGAGGAAGCCGGGGACGATGGCTCCTTGATCTTGACCGACGACTCGGCCGGGGTGTCGATGTGCTTCTTGTTCTTCGACTCCTTGCTCTCGGGGGGTGGTGTCGCAAATTGACTTAGTAGATCGGGTGACAATTTGAGTACGACCATCTTCTTCGAGCTTCCAGACCGGCTGGAGCGACCGTTCGTGGTAACGGTTGTGGTGGTGGCCATGGTAGCGCTGGCCGCCGATATCTTAGTGATTGAATAGGTCCGGGGAGTGGAGGTGATTTCAGAAGGGAGTGTTCGTCCCTTCAGAGAGGAAAGTGGGTGATGAGGCTACCCGACCGGTGGTGGAGAGAAAAGAAACCGAGGCGAGGTTCGTCTTGAGGCTGAGTGGCGACGAGGAGTTTAAGACCCGAATGATCGGACGAAGAAGGTTAGGAAGGGGAAGGGGGTGAATGAGGAATTCAACGGTGATCGTGACGTGGGTGACGGAGAGTAAGCTTGGTTGGTGGTGGTGGAGAGAAGAACGTTGGCGTGGATCGGGTCAAACACGGCGGCGAGATTGGGTCAAGGCGAGGCGAGAGTCTGGCAGGGCTGATCGAGACAGGCAGGGTGAGGCCGCGGTGACATAGTCTGGTGGTGAGGCCTAGAATAGTGGTGATGGCGGTGGTGGGTGGTGTTGATCGTGGGTATAGTATGGGAGGAGAGGGAGGAAGGGGGGAGAGGAAAGAAAGAAAGGACGGACGGGGGAGGGATGAAAGGGAATGGGGATGTCGAGGCGCCGTGTGGTAGTTTCATTGCGGTGGTGGTTGGTTGGGTGGATGTTGTGTGTTGCTCGTCTAGGGAACGAGTTTTCTGGTGCGGTCAGTGAGAGAGAAGCTCGAAGGGATGAAGTCTTCATACGCCTCGTTACCGCGGATCCCCTAGTCGGATGGGACCCAGGAATGGACTGGGACGGTACGGAAACCACCACAATACACAGACTATACGGAGGACGCATATATAAGGTACTCATAAATTTCCTTTCCTTTCATACTATGTATTGTATGTACTGTGTAGTAGTTCATCGTACTCCTGTACCTAGAGTCTGTGAGTATCTACTAGAAATAGCTGAATAAGTGAAGTTGACCTAGTCAATGAGTTGAATTTAGGTCACTAGTTAGTTAAGAGTGTTAGTTATCTAGTCAGTCTCTTCCCCCTTCCAGGATCTTCCGGGGGCAGAAGTGGTGGTATTCTACTCCCGAGTCCGGTACTTTGCGTTGCTGTGCTTTGCTGTGCTTGCTTCTTCGGCTTCTCTTTCCTCTCTATTCATGTCAAGTGATTGTCCTCTGGTTGAGAAACAATTCGGCCTTTCCAAAAAAACCACCCTACCCATTCATCCCATCATCCTATTGATCCCAATTTCACAGTTATACCCAGAAACAGATGGGATGGTTATAGAATAATGGTGGTAGTCTTGGTCTTTTTGTCTCGTCTCGTCTCGTCTCGTCTTGTCTGGTCTGGTCTGGTCCCCGTCTCTTATCCCAAATTAAAATCCACCCCTTCTTTTAGTTCTTACTCCAACCATGTCTTGTCTCTTTCACCCTTCAACTATCGAAAGGGAAAATATGGATCGTCCGTCCCGCCTCGGCCGCGTTAGACTTTTGTGCACTCCCTCCCAGCTTGCGTCGAACGGGTCTGGTTACGAATAAGATCCTGCTTGTGATCGTCTAGAAGCAAGCAATAGCAATCATCATCCTCAGCAGCAGCAACAGTAGCAGCAACATTATGACCCAATTCTGGGATCACCTGTTGCCCATCCACACGCATCCGTGACATACGTGCTCTAACCATCTTCTTTCCTCTCTCTTTCTCACTTTCTCTCTCGCTCTCATCTCACTCTCTCTCTCTCTCTCACACACACACACACATCCTACACGTAGTACGTACTAATTGCTCTCTGTGATCACGCCTGGTCAACCGCCGAGGGAACGCCGGAACGGACACCGAAACGACTACCCGTAGTCATCGAACCCTCCCCCATGCAAGTGATGCGTGAGAGGAGAGGCAGCCCAGAAATACCTCATCCCAACCAAGAAAAAAAAAAGTGACGGAAATAAAAAAAAAAAAAAAAAAAACTACTTCTTCTTCCACCATCATCCATTACCATTACCGATCGGCTTGCCACTTCCGGAATGTCATCACATCTCCCCTCCCCTCCCCATCTCTAGTGTTCTAGTATTCGTAAGTAATCCCCGTGTCCACTCTGATCCTCTCAACACGACATCCAACCACCAGACCAGAACAAAACCATGATGAGGATGAGACAATGGATGGGTAGATTAATCCCCGCCTGACGGTTGGATTTGAGTATACGAAGCTGAACCCCATTGACGCTTATCTAACCACCTTCCGCTTAACCCCCCCCCCTCCATTCATGGTTGATGATATCTCGTGCATTTGTAGTAGTTGGCTTCTCTTGGCCTGGTTGGAATTCGATGGGGGCCGAACCTCAACCCGGATTCGATGGACAATGGCAACTGCAGTGGTCCAGATGCGTTCCATCCCTAATCAATTCAATCCCCCCGCCCCCGATCGCGTACGACAGGATGCACGAAATAATGATGACAGTTGTGATGTTCATACAATCAGACGCGCTTTATAATAGTTACAACTCATCGTGGTCCGTGACTTACGAAGAGCATTAGTTTATAGATGGGCAACCCTCACATATACAAATTCAATCTGCCTTCCCCTGCTTCTTCCGCTGGATCACCTCCGCCACAGCCTGCTGCACCCCTGGACTGGCTCTGACGCTACTCAGCACCAAGCCTTCCTTCATTCCTTTGCGCAGCGTGGCCACGCCCTCACGATCACCCTTAAACGGTGCGAACCCCAGCTGCAGTAGCTGAGTCGCTTCGCCGTCAGTGGCCCGGGACAACTGCAGCAGCTGTCCCAACTGCTGCATGGTCTTCGGATGCAATTGCTCCCCCGCGCTGGACGAAGCACGTCGGCCGATCTCCGGGGGGGTGACCTGCGAGATGAAGATATGCAGCGTCACCGAGGCCCGTTGGGCCAGCGTCAGGATCTGGAACGGCAGCAGATAGAACCCGGAGTTCTTCGAGGAGATGCCGAATAGTCCCTGCACGGCATCCGGAAGGTAGGATGCGGGAAAGAACAACGCCTTGGGATGTGTGATGAGTGCCAACTCGAGGATCATCAGAGCTGCAAAGGTAAAAAAGCGCCACTGGACGGGAGGTTTTGTCAGTACGAGGGTGTTTCAAAGAAGAGGTATTTCAGGGGGAAACCCACATAGCGCCCCCATTCTGACCACCAGGTGAAGTGTAAAATCATAATGGTCACCAGACCCCCGATGTACTGCGGGACCGATCGCTGCAACCCAGCAAACATGAATTCCTGCATCGTCTTCTTCTCCCCCCATTCGAGCATGCTCGGTCCGAACCGATCGTAAGCAAAGCGTCGAACTGGATCCAACAACGTGTCTTGCGCCAGCTTCAGATAGACGAAATAGCCGTCGGAGCGCAGCCCGTCGCCCGCTCCGATCTTGTCCGGATGGTGTTGGGCAGCCAGCCGGCGGAAGCGCGACTTGATTGTTCGTTCGTCGGCCAGGGGCGAGACCCCAAGAGCCTTGTAAAAATCGCCTGCGATTTGTACCCGGTGGAAGGTCTCGTAAAGCGTATAGAGAAGGTAGCTGGTCACGACCAAGATAAAGATGCGACGGCGATGCCGAGCGTATCGAGGGGTGCCGGGCTGGGGCCGAGGTTCACCAGCGCGAATGGTAAGTCCATAGTAGACACTCTGAGCGATCGATGTGGCATACTGTCAAGGTGATCTGTCAGCGAGACCTGACATAATTGGTGCTGTGCGCGTGCTGTATAGCACTCTCCGAAAGACGGGACACCTGGCGGGACGCAGTGTCGCGGGGAAACATGGAGGACTCACATTTGGAAGGACCGCCCATCCCATATAAGACAAAAGCGACGCCATGAGAGAAAAACTACCAAGATTCCTCTGACTGACAGATAAAACCTCGATTATTCCTCCATCTAATGTCAGCTACAGCCAAATGTGAATTGATGTTTACTGGGGAAATACGGAAGTAAATCCCCTTGTCTTCCAGCGCTTATCTCTCACCGCCCCACCCACCGCCCGACCCCATTCTCCCCGAACAGGAAAAACGGAGAGGGAGGAAAAAAAAGGTAAAAAAAGTTCTCGACATCGCAAAGTCCGTCCTCCGCACTCCCAGATTGCGACACCGCGCATCCATTGCGCTTTCAACAGTCACAATGGCCATCGACGCGATGGAGATCGACTCACACGTTGCCTCCCCGGCAACGAATCGCTCGCCGGAGAAGGAGCGCAAACGCAAGCACAAGGACACTTCATCCCCCTCGAAAAAGAAGCGCAAGCACACGGTCACCGACGAAGAAGCGACCCCGATGCCCATTCGCGAGAAGAAAAGCAGCAGCAGCAAGAAGTCAACAACCAAGAGTCAAAAGAAGTCCACAACCGCTACGCCTGCCGAAACTTCCCCCTACACCCTCACCACCGCAACCCTCTACCTCCCGCTATCACCCATCTCCATTTCTCCGACCCACGCGCAGGCCTCGCTGATGGCGGAGCACCTGTCCCCGCTGCTCCTGACCTACTACCCGCCGCTCGAGGGTATCGTGCTGGCCTACTCCAACGTGACGATCTCCAGCACGCCGCCCAACAGCCCGGAGTCCGCCGCGGCGGCCGCGGCCACCGAAGACCACCCGCAACCCCTCACCCTGGCGCGCACCGCCGGCGAATACGGAGTCCTCTACGTCTACCTCACGGCGACCTTCCTGGTCTTCCGCCCGCAGCGCGGTCAGCTCCTGGAGGGGTGGGTCAACGTACAGTCGGAGGGGTTCCTTGGCGCGATCGCCCTGAACCTCTTCTCCGTGGGTATCGAACGGAAACGCCTCCCCTCCAACTGGAAGTGGATTCCTCCAGGCGACGAGCGTGAGGACGAATTCACTACGACGACGACCACCACCACCACCACCACAACCGCGAAGAACACCCCCAACGACGAAACCAACCCATCCACCACCAACTCAGACGACTCCGACTCCGATACCTCGGAATCCGATTCCAAGCCCAAATTCGACCCCGAACTCGAACACTTCAGCCCCGTCACCCTCGCATCCGACGCCAACCCCCTCAACCCCTCCAACTCGAACCCCGACATCTCCACCATCAAC